ATGTGCTAGAGAGAGCTGGAGGATAATTTTGGAATAGCAGGGGAAGTGGTGTGGGGCAGAGGCTGCAGGAGAAATGAGGGAATCAGAAAAGAATATCCTGCCCTCTTCCCTTGTTTTGCTGACCAAAATCTCTGTGGAGTTAAAAAGACTTCCATCAGCATGAGGGAATACAATCCAATGCTTTTAGCTACTAATTTAATTTATTTATTTTTTTTAAAAATGACATGCCTTCTTTATGAAAATATAAACTCAGAATTTCTTATAGCAAAAATATCCTATCAAAACACATGAATTGTAAAAATACATTAAAACTACTAAAATCCATTACATGCCATAAAACTGAGAGTAGGATAAAACAATTCTGGCATAAAACCAGGACAAACATTGATGTTTCCCACGAAGGGGGGCAATTCATGCTTCCCAGATTACTGCAAAGTAACAAATCTAGTGTTCTTAACTACACTGCACTTTAAAACAAAACAAAACAAAACCCTACAAAAATTCTGTGTTTTGCATAAAACCAATAAAAATAAAACAACGAACAACATTCAGTAAAGATTCCTAAGAACAAAGAGGAAAATGAGGCACATTCAAAACACTACCTTACATCACAAATTAAACTGAGTGATGTACAAAACAAGAATTAAGAATCAGAGTTCAGGAAAGCTTGGGTAGACGTAACTAACATCTTTTTTTTTTTTAAGGGGGCACTTAATGGTCATTATTGTCTCCACCTCACTAATTACTCAAGGGAGGGCATTCCAAAGGGTAGGAGCTGTCACAGTGAATGCCCTCTTCCACTCTGACATAAAGTGAAGATCCACTGGACATGAAATGGCCAGCCAGATATCTTCAGAAAATCTTGAAGGTCAGCTTGGTCTGTACTGGGGAGGCGGTCTGCTAGGTATGCTGGTCCCAAGTTGTTTGGGGCTTCAAATAACACAAAACTTGGACACTAATAGGCAGCTAGTGTTGATCTTTCAAACTGGTGTACCAGACCATGGCTGTAGTACAGATGGAAGAGGTCTCATGCCGATGCCAACTGAGCATGGGCTAGATCACATGACTGTACCCACCATGTGGTAGTGGGTAGTGAGGACAGTAAAGAAAACATACCCTGCTGCCTCCATTGCATCCTCTCGCTGCCAGCTAGAGAAGCTCTTCTGCATGGTTCAGAGGTTGCCCAATAATAGCAGGTGACCCTCTGTTACTCCCAAAGAACCTCTGTAGTCTTTTGGCAAAGTACTTAGAGGATCAAGTCATTTGCTAATGGACCAAATTTGACAAGGTGAGGGGTATTAAATACCACTGGGGACAAAATCATGGCCTGCACTCAGGAATAGCTGGTGGGGGGCACTGGGTGCCACACCACGGGGAGCGGCACTTAACTGCAGGGCCTGCAGAACGCCCAAGCCATGAGTCTCTCCTGGGAGTAACGCGGTGGCTTGGGCACCTGCAGATACTGATCCTGCAGTATCAAACACTTCTGGTCTGGGAAATTTGAATCGGCAGGGCCACCCTCCCCATCCCTCTCATAAGAACAACTTGCTTGATCAGGCTGATGGCCCATCTAGTCCAGAGTCCTGTTCTCACTGTAGCCAACCAGATGCCTGTGGGAAGCCTGCAAACTGGACATGAGCGCAAGAGCCCTCCCATCTCCTGTGGGTTTTCAGCATCTGGTATTCAGAAGTATTACTGCCTCCAACTGTGGAGAAAGAGCGTAGCCATCGATAGGCTTCTCCTCCATGAATTTGTCTAATCCTCTTTCAAAGCCACCTGAGTTTGTGTCTCCGACTTCCCCCTATGAGTGTGAGTTACATAGTTTAACTATGTGCTGCGTGAATAAGCGCTTTCTTTAATATCTCCCTAAGAAGGTCATTCACCAGGGCAACCAAGGCCAATTGTCATGGTCTGGTCTATGGGCAATCAAAGTCCCGGCTGAGGACGTTGGGGCCGGGGGCAAGATGGCAGGGTGGGAGCAGGAACAAGAGTCCAGAAGCCAGGAGTCAGGAAGTCAAGAGTCCGAGGGTCAGAGAGCCAGGAGTCAAGAAGCCAGGGGTCCAAGGGCAGGAAGCAAGTAGTCATGAAGTCAAGGGTCCGGGGATCAAGAAGCTGGAAGCCTAATGCAGGAAGCGTGTTGCTGTGGCAAAGCCACTTCCGGCCTGCCCAGGAGGTGGGGTTGCGGGCTTCACGCCCACCCCCCACGTGAGCGGGGGCTGGTTTCAGCCCCCGCGAGAGCAGGGGGTCTGCCCTATTTAGGGCCAGCACGGAGGGGGCTCGCCCTCTTTCGCCGGCAGAGCGGCAGCGGTGGGCCCCCCCGGATGCTTTAGTTATCCAGTTGGCGAAAAGGATTTAGCTTACAGAAAGGCAGTTGACTGGGTGTGGCATCTCTTTAATGACTTTGAGGAACTTAAGGCCTCTTATCCAAACATCACCATTCTTTGGGCCTTGTTGATGAAAAGCCGGGTTTGGAGAGAGGCAGGTGCCCGATAGCCACAAATAGGGCTAGGAAAGCCTTGGATCGGGCGGTGGTGCGTAGAGTGGCAGCCCTGGGTGGGTGGGTCACTGACCACCCGGGCAACTGTGAGGCCCTCTACCGGTTGATGGAAAGCCGGGTTTGGAGAGAGAGCAGGTGCCCGATAGCCACAAATAGGGCTAGGAAAGCCTTGGATCGGGCGGTGGTGCGTAGAGTGGCAGCCCTGGGTGGGTGGGGCACTGACCACCCGGGCAACTGTGAGGCCCTCTACCGGTTGATGGAAAGCTGGGTTTGGAGAGAGAGCAGGTGCCCGATAGCCACAAATAGGGCTAGGAAAGCCTTGGATCGGGCGGTGGTGCGTAGAGTGGCAGCCCTGGGTGGGTGGGGCACTGACCACCCGGGCAACTGTGAGGCCCTCTACCGGCTTGATGGCGTGCATCTTTCGGATGCGGGAAATGATATTTGGCTTGATGGCGTGCATCTTTCGGATGCGGGAAATGATATTTGGCTTGATGGCGTGCATCTTTCAGATGCGGGAAATGACATGTGGCTGACTGATATAGCAAAGGGTGTAAGGGATTGGTTTCAGGCATGAGAGTATTGGCGGCGAGCGATTGCTCGTGTGGCGGTAGGCATTGGTAAGAAGGGGTTAAGAGGATGTGTGGGGGGGGAGGAACGCCATCACCTCCCCCCAGTGAGCGAAGGGTGGTCCGTTAAAGGACTCCGGGGGGGCGTGGCCCTGTCCGAAGCCTATGGAGGTGTGGGCCAAAGGCACGCCCCTGAGCGGTGACCCGGGGGAGCTCCTAGTCGACGTGCCTTGGCAGGAGACTCCCCCGATATAGTGTTAACCCTTCCCCGTGTCTCCAGCAAATGGGCTGGAGCCGGATAGTCGTTAGGACCAATGCCTAAGCCAATGCCTCTCATTCCTGAATTCAATAAAGTTGTGGCCTAATTCGCCCATTTAACCTTAAGCTATGGTGTCTCGTGTCTTTATTTATCCTGGAGGGGGGCGGGAACTCGCCACGCAAAGCCACTTCCGGCCTGCCCAGGAGGTGGGGTTGCGGGCTTCACGCCCACCCCCCACGTGAGCGGGGGCTGGTTTCAGCCCCGCGAGAGCAGGGGGTCTGCCCTATTTAGGGCCAGCACGGAGGGGCTCGCCCTCTTTCGCCGGCTAGCCCCCACGTTTTCCCACCCTCCCTCCCTTTAGGTGGGCTTTAGGTAGGTCTCTGACTTTGCTATGGACTTCGGTCTGTCGCCACATGGGGCATGGTAGGAATTTTTCCCAATTGGCAATTTACAGCCATTTGGTTTTCGCCTACCTCGTAGCAACTCGTCACAACTCTTCGGCATTGGCGGTAGGCATTGGTAAGAAGGGGTTAAGAGGATGTGTGGGGGAGGAACGCCATCACCTCCCCCAGTGAGCGAAGGGTGGTCCGTTAAAGGACTCCGGGGCGTGGCCCTGTCCGAAGCCTATGGAGGTGTGGGCCAAAGGCACGCCCCTGAGCGGTGACCCGGGGGAGCTCCTAGTCGACGTGCCTTGGCAGGAGACTCCCCCGATATAGTGTTAACCCTTCCCCGTGTCTCCAGCAAATGGGCTGGAGCCGGATAGTCGTTAGGACCAATGCCTAAGCCAATGCCTCTCATTCCTGAATTCAATAAAGTTGTGGCCTAATTCGCCCATTTAACCTTAAGCTATGGTGTCTCGTGTCTTTATTTATCCTGGAGGGGGGCGGGAACTCGCCACGCAAAGAGCTGAAGGGAAATGCTGACCTTATATCCCTTCCCGGCTCTTGCCACCAGGTGCTGTGAGTTACCAATCAGCCTCTCCTGTGCGGCCACGCCTTGCCTCTTCAGAACAAACTTAGGAATGCCCCAGTCCTGCAAAGTCCTACTGGTCACAGGGCCTGGCTCCTGCACGCACTCCTGACACCAATTGTGTCCCTAGAGGAGTCCTGAACCCCAACTGGAATAGGTCAAGATAGTCAGTTTCTCCCAAGAAGCTGAACCACCACTGCATGATAACGCAGACTGGCCAGGAGCCTGAGAAGTGTCCCCTCATCTCCATCGCTCTATTTCTTTTACAGTCCACTAGTACTGAAATGGCAATTGTTAATCGTATCATGGCTCGCAAGTGAATGTTATGCCTCACCTCTATATCCCCCTGAAGCACTTTAGCTTGGCAAGTGGCTATCTTGACATGAGGTAGAAGTTCAGTGTCATTTTTTTGTGAGAAAGTGTAGGCAGCTCGGCTTGAAACCAGCCTGCGTTCCTGTCATCACACAGTGGGTGTTTTGTCAGTGTGAATTAAGGCAGTCGTTTTTTGAAGCTACACTTCATTCATATGCTTAAGTTGCAGAAGGTATGTCAGGTGGGCACAGGGAAGTCAGTGAGACCCTAGGTGTTGCAGTGGGGAAGAGAGAAAGAGAGGAGCAGCATGATATAAAAAGAAAAAAAAATTAAACCACACTCAAGAGTGTCCCTCAGCTACGTTCTGCAATGGGAACTGAGATGCATACGGTTATGCTTGGAGAAATTTGTAAAGTGTTTGTCCCAGCCGAGGCTCCCAAACAGAATGCCAGCTGGCTTTAAGTGAAAAATTAGGCCTTTATTAGTACAAATGTACATAGGATCAGCCCCTAAAAAGTCATAGGGAGGCTTTTATGCATGCCCAATTACTAGGTGATGACCGCTTAACCAGACAATTACTGCAATCCTTCCCATCACAAGAACACACTTACAACACACTGTTGTTGCTCTTTGGCTCTTCAGACTAGCCCACCCCAACCTTCTTATTGAATACATGAAACCATCTTTCCGTGTCTTTTATCTTTGTCTTCTGAGTAATTGCTCTGTGTATTAGTGGTCTGTCAATGTCTGCTTTCAGTTATCTGTGCTGATATTTTTGTTTTCTTCCGTGCTCTAGGACTTATGGTGGATCTAGACACAGGAAAAACATACACTATGACTAAGTCAGAAATTAGATCATTATAATGAAAGAAAGAAAAAATCGCCATTGAAAACAGCCTTTTAAAATTTCCTGCTCTCTGGTGCCATCTGGTGTTGCATGTTTATAGTGCATTCAAATTGCTTTTTCTTTACTAATGTAGCTGAGTCCTTAGTGTCATTACTATGCTTGGCCGATCTCCTAGTGTTTCGTTCTCCATACATCCCATTCCTTTCAGTTGTACTAGGAACTGCAAGAGAACACAGGCTTGCACACCCACTTCAAAACAGCTTGTTTGTTTTGATAGGAAAGCTCATGCGCAGATTTCAAACTGCAAAGCTCTAACTGCACAAAATGGATTCAGGGATGAATTAAAATGGGGAGATTCTTCTACGTTACCGTTTTCCTGTTTCAACCTTGCTGCAATTCTTACTGCCACTATTTACAGGAACTCCATTGGGACACAGGAGACAGATCTCTGGAGATTTACTAAAGTATATGCTGTCCTTTAAATAAGAAAAGAAGGTTTTTCAAGTGAAATAAATAAATTAAGGTCTTATGTATATAATAAAGGTTCATAAATGTACAGTGGTGCCCCGCAAGACGAACGCCTCGCAAGACGGAAAACCCGCTAGACGAAAGGGTTTTCCGTTTTGGAGGCGCTCGCAGAACGAATTTCCTATGGGCTTGCTTCGCAAGACGAAAGCCCATAGGGAAATCTCCGGGACCTCTTTTAAATGCTAGCGGTGGGGAGCAAAGCCTTCCCCTCCGGCCTTCAGATGAGGTCCTGGATGGCGGGCGGGGGCCGAAAGGCTTTGCTCCCCACCGCCAGCATTTTAAAAGCAGTCCGGGATAGCAGGGAAGCGCTTCCCGCTATCCCGGACGGCTTTTGAAGGCAGGAGAGGTCCGCGAAGCCTGGGCGCGCTGATCTCAGCGCGCGCAGGCTTCGGCATGCCGGCAACTCTCCACAAGCAGCGGCAGCGCTGCCGCTGCTCGCGGAGAGGTCCGCGAAGCCTGGGCGCGCTGATCTCAGCGCGCGCAGGCTTCGGCATGCCGGCAACTCTCCGCAAGCAGCGGCAGCGCTGCCGCTGCTCGCGGAGAGGTCCGCGAAGCCTTGGCTGGACAGCTTTGAAGGCAGGTGGGGGGACAAGACTTTCGCCCCGCCAACCTTCAGAAGAGGTCCAGGACCTCTTCTGAAGGCTGGCGGGGGCAAAGTCTTTGTCCCCCTGCCTGCCTTCCCAGGGGCTTTAAATTGCCCCGGACAGCGGAGAAGTCCTCCGCTGTCCCGGGGCAATTTTAAAATGCCGCCCGCCAGCATTTTAAGATCGCCCCGGACAGCGGAGAAGCCCTCCGCTGTCCCGGGGTTTTTAAAATGCTGGGGTGGGTGGGAAGAAAATCCCTTGTCCCCCCCAGCCTTCAGAAGAGGTCGGGGACAGACTGTCCCCGGACCTGGTCTGAAGTCGGTTTCCCTAGGAACGCATTAATTGATTTTCAATGCATTCCTATGGGAAACCGTGCATCGCAAGACGAAAAACTCGCAAGAAGAAAAAACTTGCGGAACGAATTAATTTCGTCTTGCGAGGCACCACTGTATCAAGCAAACACATACATAGCTATATAGGCAATATGTTTGAAGCTGCACAGGAGAGGAGCCATGGAGCCATTTTTACTCTCAGGCTGACCAGGTGTTTTCTCTGCAAGGTCAAATGGAGGAGCCTCCCCATTGTCTTCTCCTTCACAAATTCTGTCTTAAGGGTATGTCTGTGTATGAATAGGGTCTGTGACTTGGCTCAGGAACTAAGTACTTATCATTACAAAAGACTGGCCAGGCTCCCCAGGGTATCAATCCAGTAAACATTAACAGGTAACTTGCCAGACAGTAGGTGAACAACCCACTCAGATTTCTGCTTTAGCCCGCTCTTTCTCTGATGTAGGTATGATATATCTGGGGTGGTGGTCCTGAGCTACACCCCTTCTGTGATGTAGGTATGATGTTTCTGGGGGTGGTCTTAGACTCCAAGGTGGGCAATTTAAAATGTCTATACAGTGGTACCTCTGGTTACGTACTTAATTCGTTCCGGAGGTCTGTTCTTAACCTGAAACTGTTCTTAACCTGAAGCATCACTTTAGCTAATGGGGCCTCCTGCTGCCTCTGCGCTGCCGCTGCACGATTACTGTTCTCATCCTGAAGCAAAGTTCTTAACCTGAGGTAACATTTCTGGGTTCGCGGAGTCTGTAACCTGAAGCATCTGTAACCTGAAGCGTCTGTAACCTGAGGTACCACTATATAAGGGCGGACACACCTTGGTTCTGGGTCCTCGTCCTTCTCCTGCGTGTGAAGGGGACACCCTGTTGCAACAGTTCAATAAAGATCAGGCTTACAAGTTGCTTTGCTTCTCAATATTCTCTGGTTGGCCTCTGTTTTTTCCTCCTACCGATGGAGAACCAACAAAGGACTCTATAAGGGCTCTTGTGTCCCCCATAAGGGAATAAGGGCAGATTTTCGTTTATTACACAAGAAAGCAATGACTTGAAGCCTTGGTTTCAGATTCCACCATTATCCTAAGAGAGAGTTAGAAATGAATTATCATTGTGGATCCATAAATATCACAACACAAACCCATCATCTGAAACAACAACAACAACGTTGCAGGTTTGTAGGGGGAAAGGTGCCCCTTTAGCAGTGGCGTCCTGAGCAAATCAGATCCAGAAGGGCTTGCAATGTTCCTAGGACAACATTTGTGTCCTAGATGACCAATGGAGATGACTTTATATTATTACATTTCTCCTCTGGCCTCCTTTGATCCTCACAACAACCCTGTGAGGTAGGTTGGTATGAAAGACAGACAACCCCAAGGTCACCTAGTGAGGCTGAGTGGGGATTTGAACCCTGTAACCCAGGAGTCCCAAACGTTTTGGGCCTTGGACACATTTAGAAATCTAAGAAACGGTTGTGGGTGACCTTGGGCCAGTCACTGCCTCTCAGCCTAACCTACCTCTCAGGGTTGTTGTGGGGATTAAATGAGGAAAGGGGAAACGATGTGTGTGGCCCCTGAAGCTCCTTGGATAAAAAGTGGGGCGTAAATGCAAGGTTGCCATATTTCAAAAAAGTAAAGTTTCTATCACCTGTAAAGTTGTTTTTTTAGAAAACCTCCCCCCCAAAAACTGACACACATATAGATATAGCTATACAGTGGTACCTCAGGTTACATACGCTTCAGGTTACAGACTCTGCTAACCCAGAAATAGTGCTTCAGGTTAAGAACTTTGCTTCAGGATGAGAACAGAAATCGTGCTTCGGTGGCACGGCAGCAGCAGGAGGCCCCATTAGCTAAAGTGGTGCTTCAGGTTAAGAACAGTTTCCGGTTAAGTACGGACCTCCGGAACGAATTAAGTACTTAACCCGAGGTACCACTGTAGATCGATATATAGATATAAAATAGGTCTAAATGGTGATGGCCCCCACCAGCTGTTACCATTGGCTGCTAATGACCTATGATGTCATAAAGGAATGGAAGTTCAGTGGATATGAAGGGAGATGCTTTTTTCCAGTAAAAAAAGCCAGGTCCATGGTTGAGATATCCCACTCACTCTCTGTTTGCCTTCCAAGAATATCTGAGAACTACTAGGTTTTCCAGACACCACCTGCAGAAGGTAATCTAAGCCTACTTTAATCTTTTGTAAATTTATTGTCTGCTCAAAGCTTTGTTATCATTGTTAGTTGATAGGTTACTGTCCCTTTAAGTAAAGGCCCAGTAGAAACCTGGGGGAGAGGAAGGAAGTGCAGACTTCTGGGAATGCTGAGTCATGTTTTAGGCCTCTCTCAAGCTGCAGGAATAATTCTGCGTGGAAATAAAGTTAAGTTTTTCTTCCTTGGTTGGGGTGTAAAAAAGAAAGCAATGAAGAGAACTGTAGAGTTTCAGCAAGGTGAGGACAATTTTTTAATTTTGTTCATTTGAAAACCTTTCCAACCTACTTAATATTTAGAAACCTCTAAGAAGTATGCAGACAAGCAACATAAAAACAGAATAAAACTGCATCATAAAAACAGAGTTATAAAAACCAGGAAAGCAGAATTATAAAAACTGATAAAAATTATCTTATCAAGATATTCATAAATTAATAATCAAATGATACCTTGCACCTGCAGGAGTGAATAAAATCTATCCTAATGCAAGTTGCCATTGCACCGTTATGTCTCTGCTGTTGTTTAAAACAGGTAACCGAATTGATCAGCAGCACAGTCTGAAACAAACAGCATTTTTGGTAGTACATTCATTTTCACTACTGAGATTCTACTCATCAGGTATAAGTTCATTCTTCTCCATCTCTGTAAGTCTACTATAACCACATTTCATATTTTCAATGTCATTTTGAAATAACATTGCATTTTTATTCATCAACCAAACCCCCAGATATATAACCTTCTTTTCAACTTTCAACCCTGTGAGACAGATCCTGTAATGTACCTTTGGATTTTTGATCCATGTTTTTGATCCTGCCACCACTCTAGCAAGCAACTTACCCCCAAAAGGGGCATTTGTGAGCAAGCAGTAGTTGTTCCTCCTTTCCCTCCCTGGTCCCCTTCCTATTTTCCTTTTGCTCTCACCCAACAGAACACAATGGGCAATGGTTGTGACAGTATCAAACTGAACATTTCCATGATTTTGTACACGATGGAAACCTCTTTTCCTTGGGTATGCTGTCTGTCATTCAGTGGAGTTAGACCCGCCCCCGAGTTCTTTGATGAGCCACACTGAAGTAACTGCTTCATCTTTTTCTTCCATTCAGACCACATGGATGCTACCATGTGAAGGAAGCAAATTGGCAGGTGGAAGGAGGTGATCATCTGGCATCAGAATGCTGTGGAGCAGAAGAGAAGGCAAGTTTGCTTGCAAAAGCCAGTGGATTTGCAGAGTGGGTGGCGAGTTTGTGGTCTGAAGGTGGCTGATATCCATGGCAGAAGCTGGCTGATGTCCAATGACTGACCAACCAGAAACGGGCGAGTAGCCGGAAGGTGGCTTATGTTTGATAGTGGACCAAGCAGAAGCTGGCAGATGTAGGTGGATGGATGCTGGTGGAATTCACATTCGGAAGCTTTTGGACCAGATGGCTTTGGTAGCACTTTTTGTATAGCTTTGCAGTAGCACCATATTTAACTTTGCTGTTTAATGTTGTTTGGAGGGGTGGAGCCCTCCCAAACATTTGGTCCCCATTGAAAATAATTGTTTTACCTAAACCAGGTAGAGATCCTAAGGAAGTGGGATCTTACAGATGGATCACCCTGTTCAACCAACTTTTTTTTACATCAGTCATGGCTTCCAGCAGGGTGATCCATACAATTGTCAATTCAGACCAAACCAGATTTATCCCAGGCAGACACAATGCAGATCACACATGCAGGTTAGTCAATATAATATATGACAGTAATTAAGAAGAAGAATCCCAGCCCTTTGGCACTGGTGTCACTGGACATTTACAAGGCCTTTGACTTTTTAGAATGGAGGTACTTTTTAAAGTCTTAGAACACTATCAGATGGGCAACACATTCATGACTACTATCAGAGTCCTCTGTGCCTCTCACCAGGCCACTGTTGGCACAAATGCTGTGAATTTGAACTCTGTTCATATTGGCAAGTGAGCAAAACAAGGTTGTCCCCTGTCCACATTGCTCTTTGCTGTTTCTCTGGAACCATTAGCAGTTTCATTACTCATGTATCAAGGGCCATCGGGGAAAGGTTGAATAGCATTTATTAAACTTTTATGCTGATGACATGATGTATATGTTACCTAACCCTCAGGAAGCCCTACCAATATTCAAATTAGAATTGGGGAAATTAAAAATAAAATACTGGGTCTTAGAACTAATCTTAAGAAGTTGCTGATAACTTGTTATAACATAGGTCTGATGGAAGAAATCAAGCTTAAACAAATGACTCGAGCTAAGTTTTATTATCGTCAGATCCAATAAGAAATGGGTTGACGTGGAAGGTGAAATGATACCAGACACAAAAATATGGGTGCTTCCTTTTATTAGGCTCTCCAAAACAACTTTAGATACAATGCATAGCCTATACACATTGAATATGCTACAGGTATGGAAAAGGTGGCAGCGCTGTCAGTCTCCGTTATACTTGCCTCTAATGCCACAGTTTTCACCCTCAAGTCCAGGATTCAGCCTTGCGTAGTACAATCCTTTCATGGGAGGGGGGCAGGGAAACGCCATTTACAGTCCATGATTTCCATGTTAATGACAAACTGTTATCCAAAGAACAACTTAAAATAAATACAGGAGATCCAGGCCTATCCTGGTTACAAGAAAGAGGTATTTACAGAAATTGCACAAATTTTAAAGTCTGAAAATCAGGCAACCCCACAACTTGCATTAAAAAATGTGTGGGATAACAATCTGAAACAGTTTTCTTTAATACAGTTATTAACTTCATGGCTGGCAGTTGCAATACTACCTATAGCACAAAAATGGAAGACTTAACATGAATTTCCTCCTGCATTGTGGTGCAAAATTATTTGGTCTCTTGCTGAAAAATTTAACTTTCAACATTTGGTGTAATCAGAGGCAAAGAACCTGTGGAACATGTACATGTGATTTGGTCGGACTTTATATCTTATGTTCCAACTGACAACTTACAAGACTTCTTACCTGCACCTAAAAAAGAAATATGTATTTCCTGATTAGCATATATGTATAAATTGAATTACGGTTGTACTTACCCATTTTATGTATGCATCTCTTCAACAACTTTCTAGGTTGGACTTAACTGTTCTTTGTTCTTCTGTAAAGAAAAAGAAAATGTTAGTTTTGTGAAATGCAATAAAAAAATATAAAAAGAAGCAGGTAGATGTTGCATGGCTGAAGTTGGGTGATTTTTGTAGATGTAAGCCAGCAGAGGTTCTCCCCTGAAGCTGTGAACTGATGGACTGGGTGTTTGCTCTTGCATGTTACTCTGCTGATGTCACCTTGAAGCTCTAAAAGGGGATTAAACAAATTCATGGTGTATATAGCTATCAGTGGCTACTACTCACAGGATCAAAGGTATTACGCCTTTGCATTGGGCAACAGCGTTGAGAGGGTGGTATTGTGATCACATCCTGCTTGTGAGCTTTCCAGAGGCATCTGGTTGCTCAATGAGAACAGGATGTTCTTAAGACAATTTCTTACAGAAAGCTTAAATAAATGGTAGGCTGATGGCTCTTCCTTACCATGTCTCCAGAGTTGTATAGAATAACTAGGAACTCTATCCCGCTCATGTTGCTCACCAACCCTGCCTACAGCTCCACCTCCCGGGGGGGGGGGGAACAGCCCGGAGCCCCCTACACTTTGCCAACCTTCTCCTAACCCATTAGACGGGGGAACAGAACGAGATGACCTAATTGTGATGTCACATGACTGGAAGAAAGTTTTGTTGGTTTTTTTGAATGATATTTATTAAAGTTTCAATAAAAGATTAAACATAAAACATAAAAAAGAAATACACAATTCAAAATATACTATACATAATCTAAAAGAAAAAGGAAAAATAAAGAAACAAAAAAAACAAAGGACAAAAAAGAAAGTAAAACAATTACAAACAGTATCATCTTTTCGTCTCCATTTTTAAATTTACTTATTTTCTGGACCTCCTCGTACCTCCCTCTTTTGTATTCCAGTTCAAATTGTTTATCCAGCAATTTCTTTCCCTCTTTTTTTAATCCCAATCTTAACTCTTGATATAATATAACATTAAAATTTTACCTTTTAAAACCAGATTTCCATTTCCTTAAACTTTTTTAATCCTAATCCTTAATCTTAATCTATCCATAATTTTAAATCCTAAACAGCTGGAAGCCACTTATTTTTAATCCAACATCACTCTAACATTCTTTAATTTTGCAATGTTTCTGCAGATAGTCTTTGAATTTCTTCCAATCTTCCTCCACCGACTCTTCTCCCTGGTCACGGATTCTACCAGTCATTTCCGCCAGTTCCATATAGTCCATCAGTTTCATCTGCCATTCCTCCAGTGTGGGAAGCTCTTGTGTCTTCCAAATGACTGGCAGAAAGTTATGCGGGTGGAGAAAGTAGGCAGGAAGTTCTGTTTCCCCCCCCTCTCATAATCCTAGAACCTGGGGTTATTCAATGAAGCTGAATGCTGGGAGCAGAAGGAAGTATTTATTCACACACACAGTGTGCAGTTTAACTATGGAATTTGTTATCAGAGAATGTGGCGATTGCAATTTGCCATCAACCTGGATGGCTTTGAAAGGGAATCAGATAAATTCATGGAAGATAAGGCTACTGTCCGTATGACAAACAACTTGTGGGCCCTGTGTGATTTGAGTAATAAGAAAATGCTTCCAAGGACATTTCCCTGGTGTACTTCAATATCGCTGAATCACATGGGTAATGCTTCATACAAGTGAGTTTTCATGTGAATCAAGAACCCACCTAGTTTGACTTTTAAGCAGCAGCGTACAAGTTGCCCATGAATTGCGTCTCTATGGTTATGCCAGCTTTGGTTTGGATTTCATAAGACTTTACTCTTCATCCGATTTCTTAAAGGATTACCCAAATCTCTCTAGAATCCTGTTTTGTTTTTTTCATCCCAGCTACCTGATTCCTACAACTATTTCCTTATATATTTGAGCAGGGAGTGCCTGGGAACCTGCCTTAACTGCCTTAAACCACAGCACGGACTACTACAGCAACAAGCTAATGAGCTTGTGGAGATACAATGACTGAATAAGCTCCTTAGTCCATTTATAAGTAGCTTGCAGCATTTAGAAGCTCTGTTACTTCTTTGCTCTAAATCTATTATTCCTCTCAAGTTAAAAAAAAATCCCCTTCCGTGAGAGGCAAGCATTTTGTGGCTTGCAGTTAATTGCTGTTGGCATCTGTCTGTCTCGAGATAATGGAGTGTGCCTCTGGGGGTGAAGTCAAACTGCTGCGTTGTCAGCAGTGACCTTGCAAGGGTGAAAGCCTTGGCAGTCAGTGTGTATAGAGGTCCTGGGCTGTCCAGAAGACAGGACCTCCCTCTCGACCTTGCTGATGTGCTCCAAAGGAAAGCAGAGCAATATGTTTGGCACCAGCTTGGCTGCAGGATTTGCTGGAAGGAGACGTACAAGGTGCCATCCAGCCGTCTTAGCAACTCCTCTGGATTTGTGTAGGGTTTAGTCCTTGGCTTTTTATTTTCCTGAAGATACCCCACAAGGCAGCAGAGGTTTAGGATCAGCTTTCCTTCTAGATGGGCTACCTACCTGGGTTGCCAAGCCCCATCTGCCGCTCACCTCCCTCTACAGCACATTCAGAAACCGCCTTCTTGACCACTGGACCAACTATTGGTCTCATCTGTGTGATCCACTGGAGTCTGTCTTCACATGCAGAGGAGAGGCTGTCCCTAACTCACCAAGGGTTTGAGACTCATCGGTTACCCTTGCCTCTTTAGCCGGCCAATTGAAGCAGTTTCCTAGGGTGTGGCTGCTGTCACATGCTGACAGCTTCTAGGAGCCACTGGGGAGAGCTGGGTAGTGGGCAAACTACCTCAGAAGGAGCATGAACTGTCCCCCACCAAAGGTACTATCCCTTCCGACACCCCAGCAATTAATTAGGTGCCCAATATAGTTACATGGATGCAGGTGGCGCTGTGGTTTAAACCACTGAGCCTCTTGGGCATTCCAATCGGAAGGTCGGCGGTTCGAATCCCCATGAGGGGGTGAGCTCCCATTGCTCTGTCCCAGCTCCTGCCAACCTAGCAGTTCGAAAGCAAGCCAAAAAGTGCAAGTAGATAAATAGGTACTGCTCCGGCAGGAAGGTAAACAGCGTTTCCGTGCGCTGCTCTGGTTTCGCCAGAAGCGGCTTAGTCATGCTGGCCACATGACTAAGAAAAACTGCAGACGAACGCCACCTCCCTCGGTCTGTAAAGTGAGATGAGCGTTGCAACCGCAGAGTCGTCTGCAACTGGACTTAACTGTCAGGGGTCGTTTACCTTTACCATTTTTAATATAGTTACAGGGGTCGTGGAAGTTGGATTCTAACAACATCCAAAGGGACATGGGTTAGCTCCCCTAGACATACAGCTAAAATAAAAGATACTGTATTGTGTGGAGAGTTTTCAGGTAGTGAAATGACAGTCCACAATATTGGATTTAGATGTGTATAAACTTTATTTTGCATGTCTCTACAGAAGGGAATGCAGCCCTCAAGTGGAAGGTTCCCCACGTACCCTGGGGTTAGATGGAGGTGTTGTGTAGCCTGGAATAAGGGAGCTTTTTATGTTCCCAATGCTATTAATTGTCCCCTTTGAATGTCAGGGGTGAAGGGTGGGCACCTCAGTGCAGCACAAATAGTCAAGGGCCTCAACTACGTGAGGTTAATTAGCACTGAGGGCCAATCAGTTGCTAGGCAACCATTTGATCTAACTGTATTGCATGGCTGGCAATAAAAAGGTAAAGGGACCCCTAACCATTAGGTCCAGTCGTGACCGACTCTGGGGTTGCGGTGCTCATCTCGCTTTATTGGCCAAGGGAGCCGGCATACAGCTTCTGGGTCATGTGGCCAGCATGACTAAGCCGCTTCTGGTGAACCAGAGCAGCACACGGAAATGCCGTTTACCTTCCTGCCGGAGCGGTACTTATTATATCTACTTGCACTTTGATGTGCTTCCGAACTGCTAGGTTGGCAGGAGCTGGGACTGAGCAACGGGAGCTCACCCCGTCGCGGGGATTCAAACCGCCGACCTTCTGATCAGCAAGTCCTAGGCTCTGTGGTTTAACCCACAGCGCCACCCGTGTCCATGGCTGGCAATAGGGCTTGTAATTATGCAAATAGGTGTGAGAAGATTGATTGTTGCCAGTGTCACAAAGGTAAGTCTGCCTCCCCAGGTATTTTCTAAATTTCTCTTGGGAATATGGTCATAAGCAGGAGTAATGAAGAAACACTTGAAAAATTGGGATTGGATTTTCTAAATAAATAAAAAGGCAGGCCAAACCCAATTAAAGGAGCAGAATGTGGATAGAAAGACTAATTCACAAACATGGATTATAATAAATATTTATCCCCTTTGAATTTTTGCAAAAGATTTAACATTGCTCATATACTATAGAACTTACTGGGAGAATACAGTTTGCACACTTGAGATAGGCATCCATCGAAATAAAGTACTGGTTCTTTTGAGCCTGCTGATTTTTTGGGGAATGAGGTTTCGTAAAGTAAATGCCAGTGTCAGAGGTAGTTTAGTATTCTGAAATCTAATTTATCTACAATGGTCTGCATATGGTTGCTTCAATAAGTATGCAGCCTTGGTGGAAGCACAAGCAAACCAGGAAAGTTGTTTGGTTCCATTCATAAAAAACCATTGAAGCTCCCTCTAATGGCCAGATTATATAATAAATTTTTACAGTATAGTGTTCTGAATTTGCTTTGCTTAGTGGCTCACCAAGGGAGATCTTGTGCCTAGGTTTGTCCCTAGATTAAGCTTTGGGTTAGGCATACCAGAGCAGTTCATGTTGGACAGTGTTGTGATGCCATGGATTGGAGTGGCCTGAACATTATTTGGGGCCCAGAGTTGCTGAAATCCTGAGGGGTTTTTTTATATACAGGCTGCATCTAAATCCATTTCTGTCTGATTCTGGATGCCATGTAGAGTAAATCCTATTCATGTTGAAACAGAAATAAGTCTCAGTGTTCAAACTCCCAAGTATGATTGCAGCCCAAATAATTGATTTCATTGCTAATGTGTGTAGGATGGATCTTAAATAAGAAAGCAGAAACTATTCAGTAAGGAACTAGGAACCAGAAATAAGAACTAGGATCTACCGAAAGAGCCTTATCCCTGACTAGCTGAAGCAGAAAATGGAGAAATAGCTTGACTTGGTTAAAAAAAACCAAAGAGTTATCTGAGCTCCTAAACTTTATCTTTCTCCACAATGCCATAATAGATGTGCCTCAGTTTTATACCAGTTCGGTATAATCTAACCTCTTTCTCAGACTAAACATCTTTAGTCTACTAAAACGGACACACATTTTAGAATTTGAGTGTATATGGTAATAAAAATCAAGGAAGAAACCCAGAGGTTAGATGCTTAATAGGTCAAATTTAACAGGGGAAAAATGTATCTTGCAGCTCACTTCGGATGCAGCGTAGTTATCTATTTACCTCTGAATACCTGATGTCTAGGTCCAGTACAGAGCCTGGAATAGACTTTTTTTGGAACTAAATGGATTTTGCAAGTGGCCATGTGGGTTACTCATTAATATCTAAATCAAAGTCTCCAAAGTCTCCAAAGCTCTAAGCCAGGGTTCTGGAATATTAAGCTTGATGGGAAGGGGATCTAAGTCAATTCACTGCTGTAGGCATTTGGTTGCCATTGAAAAAGTCACTATGGATTTGGAAGCCTCACTGTACAGTACTGCTAAATAATTGCTTTGAGGTACATAAAACTCCATTACATAGTTATTGGAGCTAGAAAGGGCTTCAGATTGGCTCGCTCTTGAGAGTCCAATGCACCCTGCACATTACATAACTCTGTTCACCTTTTGTAATAATAGGTTGGGGATATTAGCAGGGCTAAGGTTATGTAAGAGATGTTATTATTAATGAACTCCTACAATTAGAATGCACAAAGAACCTATTCCATAGCACAGCAAGCACCCTACAGTAAAACTCATTCTGTTTCCATGACAACTAGTACTGGAAAAACTCAGGTATGTAATTTTTCCTAGATGGGAAGGCCCTCACCAAAACAAACACTGGCATGCACACACACATGCTCATGCACACACACATACAATACATACGTACGTACACACTCATGTACTTTTTCGTCTTTGTCATAATAATGGTTGTAATCTTCAGCATAAGGCATATTGGTTTACAATATCACTCTTAGGCTCTTCTTTTGTTCTGGCTTTGCTTTTGACTGATCGCTTGTTTCCACAAGTCCATATGTACGAATGTCTTTCCACTACACTGCTGGTGCAGTCAATGAGCCATGCATTGTCTCTAGCAGTAATTAATGTTTCAGGTTCCTGCCCTCCCAAAATATGGAAAATGTTGTATTGGGTCAGCTGATGCCATATGGGCAGGGCTTTGTAGCAGAGGTCCCCAGTCTCAACAGAATGAACAGAAAGGCCCCCTAAACAGCAGGGCTGGGTTACCATACAGTGGTACCTCAGGTTAAGTATTTAATTCGTTCCAGAGGTCCGTTCTTAACCTGAAACTGTTCTTAACCTGAAGCACCAACTTTAGCTAATGGGGCCTCCTGCTGCCGCCGGAGCATGATTTCTGTTCTCATCCTGAAGCAAAGTTCTTAACCTGAAGCACTATTTCTGGGTTAGTGGAGTCTGTAACCTGAAGCGTATGTAACCTGAGGTACCACTGTATTCTGAAGTAAGTGAAATATTACGTTCTATCATCTAAAGCAGAGCTTTCCAAACTATGTGTTGTGACACATTAGTGTGTCAGCTGCAGTGTGTAGGTGCCTTATGTGAAAGGGGTTAGTTTAGCTTCTGGTTTGCTAGTAAAACTGAATTACTGTGTCATGAAATGATGCGTATTTAAAAAGTGTGTCACTGGCATGAAAAGATTGGAAAGCTCTGGTCTAAGGATTGTGCAGGGTTGTAAGGCCATTCAGTCCAGAGTACAAAAAAGGGCGTAACTTCACCCACTGACTGTATTGGTTAAACAAGTCCTCCTCCCTCAACAGCTAATATCTCCCACAAGGTAGCCACGAAGCTCTCCATGCAGAAAGAAGCTCTGTTGGTGAATACCCTGTGATCCACTTCAGCCATTACTAATGTTAGCCAAACAACCAGCACTGTATGTCCCAGACGGCTATTCATTTTGACCTGTCTCAGAGGGTACATATACAATGATGGCATCAAGTGTTCTGTACATTGAAAGTACAACAGAAATCACAAATGAGAGTATTTCTTATTAGAGGTCACAACTAATTCTGGCCAGTCCAACCTCATAGCAAAAGAAAATGCCATAAATAGGACCACTATCCAAAACAAGCTTATAGTCTCCCTTATATACTACGGTCTAGTGTAGGTTAATAGGAGAGAATAGATGACAGAATAGTACCCTAAAAGAGCCACATATTGGAGGGGAAGGCTAAAACAACAACAAAAAGCAGACCACTTTGGGACAGCCCTTCCTTTCTTTTTTGCCATTCAAGTCAATTCTTTCCTTTTGCCCTTTCTGGGAATACAAAACCAATCTAGTTATTTTGACAGAGCACAATATAAAATTATACCTTTGCATGCCAGACAGCTATCATTGTCAAAGAACAAGGGTCTCACAGGCAGCACAGCAAAATGCAGAAATCAAGATTGTTCCTTGTGACCACAATCTTCTGCCTTCTATCTGAAAATGACTAATTTTTTTTAAAAAACAGGCACGCGTAATGCCACTGCTGCTCAATATTTTATTCAGTTGGGAAGCAATTAAAATTCTCCATTTAAATGATGAGATTATTATTTTGTTTGTTTCCTCTTTCGTAAAATGCTTTGTCTCTTTTATACGCAGTTTGTGACCTTTTGCATCGATTCCCAGATATTGCATAAGGAAACATAGTTTTGTTGATGACTATTTGGAGAAGCAGTGTGCAGAAAATCGTTCAGACCACTCAATATCCTTTCAGCATCTTACATTATTCTTTGTTCCATTACCCAAGAGAGTTTCAGGCACATTGTGGCCTCACTGAAATGTGCATTCTCAGGTGCACAAGAGTTAGAACACGTGGGATCCTGTTGGCAGTACATATGTATGGCCAAAATCCACAAACTATGTGCAAAGTATTTTCATGGATAAAGCTAAAGGGATTATTCAACCAGGTGTAGTAAAAGTGAACTCTTACACCTGGAGGAAAGAGAGGCATGCCTCTTCCTACATGCTAGAGCAGCAAATTCAGCTTTTGACTCGCCGAACATCACAGCCAGGAAGCCAACAGAGAGGGCCCTGCCACTGAAAGAAGGAATGAGCTCAGTCTGGATTTGCCTTCATAGCTGTCTCGAACCTGCCTCCACCCCATTCCAATCAGCATGGATTAATGAATAGACATGAGTAGCTATCTTCAAGACACTTTCTGAAGGCACTCAAACAGCAGTCTCTAACAGAACAAACACAAAAAAGATAAGACTGAACATTTTGTCTGGAAAACTGAGACACATCATTGCTAGGTACTGTACTGTTAGTGAAGTTAAAAGCTCTAGAGAAATACTATTTGCAGTTATTAGTGATTATTCATACATTAAGTAGGTACTAGAGATTGTCGGATCTTTAAAAAGTCTTGCTGTATCTCCTCTGGAGTAATTGCTGCAAAATCTGAAGAACATACAGTATGCACAAACTGTCTGATATTACAATGGCCCTATGCCAAAAGTAATAATCACATTTATGAATCTACTCTTCCTCTGTGGAACACACTAGCATTTCAGCCATGATAGTCCTGTGAGAGGTTAGGCTGAGCGAAAGTAACAAGCCCATACTTCAAAGTGAACTCTGGTCATTGCTCCACACTGGCTCTGTGTGATTATGTCAGTATATACCTGATGGTCAGGGACGTTTACAGAACAGCCAGAGGACTACTGTAGTAGAAGTTCAAACTTCTCATGTGTTCAGAAGTCCATGCATCACACAGAAAGGATCACAGGAAGCATCCATGTGTAGCCTATCTTCAAAATTGAATCATATAACTTGGGGGGGGGGGGGCAGTGGGAAGAGGCTTGTTTTTTCAATCCATGTGGCCATTTTTTTTTCTTTTGCAGAAAGGGATCACGCTCCAACTGAAGTGATGAAAAGTAGCCAGTTAATACAAAATGACTGTGTGTGTGTTTGTGCACACGTATGCAAAAAACCCCAACAAACTCGTGAGGATTCCCCCCCCACAGCTCATAGTGCGCTGTCCAACCATTTGTGCTTGTTGCTAACTAATGAGGCCACTTCACAATCTGCAAGTGCAATTCATGCACAAAAGAAGCAGAACATGACACGGATTAAAACAAACCACGAATTCTTTATTACATTATGTGTAGAACTTGAATGTGCATGTGGGGAAGCAGAATCACGTCCAATGATTCTGCCTGTGAAAGAGCTTACATGTTTGAACAGGCATATCATTCATAGACTGGTAAAAGGGCCAGTGGAAATTGTTAAGATGTGTCCAAAGAGGCTTCAAATTCCACCTCAGCCGACTGTGGATGCTCAAAGTACACACTATAATTTTCTGCGCCTCTGCCCATCTAACAAAGCTGGTGTAAATGGGGCAAACCCAATGAAGGCAGATGAGTTTAGGCCGAGGTGGAATCTGAAGCCCAGCTTCTCGAACAAAACCAACACCCATCCAGATTCAATTTATTGTAACGGCTTAGTTTTAAACTCACTTATGGCCAGTTAAATAGCGGGCAGCGAAGAGAGAGTGTGTGACAAAAATCCACCCCGGGATCTGCTCAAAGGACCAGCTGCGCCTCCCTCCACTGTGACGAGATTGAATGGAGGAGACATGGGTGGGAGAGGAGACTGCAAGCCGCTCGGGGCAGGGGGCCGCCGCTCAGCCAAAGGCGCTATAAATAGGCGAGATCCCCCCAGCCAGCGACAGAGCGAGCGAGGCCTGCCCGCTCGGCGTGCCAGATTTGCAGCGGGCGGGCAGGGCCCCCTGCTGCCCGCCGGCTGTGTACGCAACAAGGCGGGCTTTCGCCGAGTGAGGCGGCGCTGACTCAGCCTGGGCCGAAGGAAGCGCAGGGCAATGGCGCTCAGCCCCCCCGAGAGGCAGCCGGGCCCGCCCGAGCCCCCGAGCCCGGCAGCGGCGGCGGCGGCGGCGCCACAGCAGCACCAGGCGGACGACGAGGCCGACCTCGACCCCGACCCGCAGCAGCAGCTGAGCGGCCTGGAGCCCGACGCCGGCGAGGGGATCCCGCTGCACTCGCCGTGGACCTTCTGGCTCGACAAGTGAGTGCGGGGCCGCCGGCACACCGGATGGGGAAGGCGAGCGGCAGGAGGAGGAGGAGGAGGAGGAGAAGCAGTTCGCGGCGAGAGCGCGCGGCCTGGAGCTCGCCTCTCCCGCGCCGGTAGGGTGGGAAAAGGCGCGGGAGAGGGGGCAGCCACGGGGGTGGGCGGCGTAGGACCGGCCTTTGTTCGCCGCCGCCGCCTCCTCTCCTGCTCAGCTCGCTCCTTCCCCGTCCCCACGGCGAATTAATCCCTTCTCCGCCGAGGGCAACGAAAAGGGCGGGGGGGTCTTCTCTTCTCCAGCCCCACCGATTGCTTCACTTCGCTTAACCCACCCGGAGCTGCTGTTTCTACCCCCACCCCGCAACCAGCCCTGGGCGCCCTCAGGCTCGCTTTCTCCTCCTTGCTATTTCCAGGGCTCTCAACGCGAGTTTTGAACTCTTGAGAGCCGGGGATCATCCCTGTTAAGCGTGTTGAAGTGATAGAGGCTCTTAGAGGGAAGTGATAGAGGCTCATTTTTCCTGACTCGGTGGTATCCACACACAATGCACGCGCGGATCTAGCTTGCAGGCAGAAAAGGCAACAAGTGCAGCTTCACCCCTCCTCAAGGTTTGAGACGCACAAGAGCCTTGGTCGGGTGGGAAAAGGGCAACATTACTCGGTGGGTTGCCTTGGGAAAGGCTCGCCTCTTAGGTACCCTAGAAGAACTTGGGGCATGCTAGCTCTTGTGTTTTTATCCCATTGGGTGGCATTTCTGCTCCGCTTCCCTTTGTTGCCAGTTTCGGAACTTCTTTTTAATGCATCCAGCACTTAAGGTGGTTTGTTTATTGATTTAAGCAACCTTCTCTGGATAGTTTTCAGGCCAGCTGCTGTCTGGAAATACATCCCCAAGGGCATGGATTCCCTAAGCTAAAGCAAAGCAAAACAAAGTATTTGTTTTGCCCTGGCCTCCTTTGGGAGGAAGGGTGAGATATAAATTTAACAATAATGTTTTTTAATTGCATGTACCATAAAACGGGCCTTGATGAGAAACATATTGTTATGTGCACCCGGTTTTCCCCACCAGTGACAAGAAGTTAAAAGGGGTACTGCTACTTCTTTTGCATCAGTGGACACTGCAGTCCACATGCTTTATTTAAAAAAAAAACCTCATAAGGCATAAATTGAGGCAAAGACTTAGCCATTAAAAAGTTAGCCATAATCCTTTACCCAATATCAGAGAGGGGCCGTGCCACCCTCTTACCAGCTAAACAGTTTCTGTCTCCCTGCTTACCTTCGAGACTGCTTACTGTTGTTTTCCACACTCATTCTTCCTAATCTTCCCCTCAGACCCAACCCCACACGTAAATTTGACGGGGGCACATCCACACCCATTAAAGAACAGTGGGGCTGCTATCCTATATGCTTTTACCTGGGAGTAAGTCCCACTGAACAAACATGTAGGATTGTGTTGCAAGGTTCTTCTGTGCCACATTACGGAGTCACTTTAGAAGTCATCTTGGGGGGGGAAAGCATAGTGGTAATATATGTAATATTCACAATTTAGAAATGACTCCTTTTTCGCCCTTTAAAGGTGTGTATTCCAGGTCACAGTGCAAACAGATGACTCCTTAATAACCATTAACCATCCTATTTGGCATTATCTTTCTGTGCATGCCTGTAAGAAACTATGGTGTTGGTGAAGTGGATTATAATGAAAGTTAGGGAACTAGTGGGTGGTAATTATTCTGGATTAAATGCAGATTATTTACTCTTAGGTTTCACACACACACAAAGACACTTACTGAACATATATCAGTGGCAAACATTATTTCAACACAAACCTTACAATCCATGCTTGATTGCCCCCTTCCTTTAAAGTCCTACGATGGGCAGACATTCAACAGGTGAAACTTTTTTACAATTTTGGCAATTTTTACAAAGGATTAACTCTTCCCTTCTCATTAAGTTTTGTGTTGCTATTTTATTTTATATAAACCCATATTCTTGAAATATCCTTCTATGGTTGAAACTTTGATCTGCTCTTAACTGTCCATAATTTGCAACATGATCTCTTCCTACCTTGTTTTTCATTCACTGCTTTAAAATAGAGCTGTCTGAGAATCCATCCTTCCCTCCACTCATTATAAAAAACAAACAAACCTTGGTTCCCCTCTCTGTTTTGCTAAGAAACCATAATCCTTTCTTAAAATCTCTATCCGGTGTTTATTTTCCACAAAATTCAAAGCCATATAAGACTTGATTCCAGTGTCTCTCACTCCAGATCCACTCCTCCAGGCATTACAAAATCAGACTGACATGCTTGCTTTCTTATACTGCATCAGACTACAATTGGTTGCTTCTTTAGCCTTGCTTTTTATAACTCCATGATATCCCAGTACTTGTCAAATGACACACACGCACGCTGTCCATTCGGAGCTTGTCATAGGTGGTTGGCTTGTTTTCCTGTACCAATCTGCTTTTGTAACTTGAGAAAGAAACATGTCCTTGAGGTATAAACAGCTTTCTCTGGCAAGCTACATAAATCCTGAAATGTTCTTATGACCAATTGCATTTTATTAGCACCTTTTACAACCACTGAAGGGTTTGCTGAAATGAAATACTAAGGGACAAGCTACAATGTGACCATGGTAGTTTTGTGTACTTAAAAATGGAACTCTGATATCGTGAAGATAGTGGGAAGTGCATCTGATTTTAACAGCAAAAGGAACTCATGGGTGAGATGTGCCGCCCCTTTACCTCTCACAGCCAAAGTCACTTGATGTATTAGAGCTCAGCAAAAGTACTTGGGAAAGAGGATGCAAGGAGGTAAGGAAGTAGCATTGTTCACTTCTCATCTGAGTCCCCATGTTTGCTGCTAAAATCACATCTCTGCCATCTCATTGTCCACTTAAACTCATCAGGAAATTATCCTTTTTAAATTTTCTCATAGCTTGTAGGCCAAGATTGCTCCTGCTGCCTTTGAATTATAGCCATCGTACATTAGGTATTTTAACACATGGCAGGGCGTCTTGCTGTAGGATAAAGCACGATCTAAGCTACCTCACCTTACAAACCCCTTCGGTATAATCCACATATTGATTGTAGAAGCAAGCAAGGTGCCCAAAACGCAATGTGTCTGCAGGCCAGGAATAGTTCAGCAAAACCATTCAAAAGGCCTTGGGCAAGCAAACCAAGCAACAAAAAAAGTGACGAGAAATCTCAAGGGTCGCTATAAGCCAATATTTATATTATTTAATACATTTATATCTCACCTTTTTCCCAAGTTGGGATTCAACAGATGTGGCACTGAAGATGATGTTAGGTGCTTTTCTGTTGTTGCTTTTTTTAAAAAAAGTTCCCCCTCCCCTGGGACTAATCCATAGAATCCAGTTTTCACCAGTTACATGAAGTACCCAAAAAGTTAATATCATTGATTAGATACATATTATTTAGGTATATATATTTGGTTATATACTGTGGTGGGGGTATCAGTGAGTTTTGTACTAGTTTCTTAAGGGCAGGAATTGTGAAGGAGAGATAATATTTAAGCGTGCAGAAGTAGAGGACAAGGAATCAAATCTCTGTCCAGATTGTAATTTACGTCCTAAGTCAGGGGTATAGCCAACATCAGGCATTGGCAAACTCCGGCCCTCCAGATGTTTGGCACTACAATTCCCATCATCTCTGACCACTGGTCCTGTTAGCTAGGGATGATGGGAATTGTAGTCCCAAACTTCTGGAGGGCTGGAGTTTGCCTATGCCTGGCCAACATAGTGACCGCCAGATGTTTGTTGTACTACAGCTCCCACCCCTGACAGTTGATCATTCTGAACGGCACTATGCTGGCAACTACTGCCCAAAGCCGTTAGCAAAAGCTGTTTTGTTCATTAAAAAAACAACTCTTCATACTCTTGAGTTTCTATGATTGCTATCATTTTATGTGTTGGTTTCATGCATAATTACACTCAGGGAGCCATCTAGATATTTACAACCTTTCATTTCAGTTGTCTGTATCTCATGTTTTTTGAAAAAAATAAAATATCAGGCTGTCAGGGGTTCAGGGAGAGAGGCACAGGGTAGGCAGGAGATGGAGAGCGAGGGGGAGGAATTCCAAGCCAGCGAGGAAGAGGATGACAATGACTCAAGGGATTCCATGAGTCTTTCCAGCGAATCAGAGGATTCCCAGAAGGGGGCGCCGGTGGTCAAGGCCAGGGGAGCCCCAGGGGGGAAATGTCAGGAGCAGGGTGCCAGCGGAGGATCCCAAAGTGGCAGCTGGGCGTCAGGACCAGCCTCCCCACCAAAGTGCAGCGAAAGGGGTGGAGTTTCCAGTGTGTCAGAGGAAGCAGCTCCAGCAGCAGAGAAAGGAGGGGGGTCAGAGCAAGCCGCCCTCCCGGAAGGGGAGGGGAGCAGTGAAGGGAGTAGTGTAACTGTCAAAAGGAAAGTTAGAGGTGTGGCGCGCGCGCCTAGTTCAAATGTAGAGGCGCGCGGAAGTGCAGGGAGCCCGGAGGAGGGGCCAGGTCCCAAAGCCCGCAGGAGGGGGGGAAGAGCAGTCTGATTCCGCGTCAGAGGAATCCAGAAGGGGGGAAACCCCAGTGGGTAGAAGGACCCTGCGGAAAAGGAAGGAGAGAAAGAGGTGGAGCAGCGCAAGTCTCTTAAATTGGTGCAGAGGAGGGACTGACTCAGAGGGGACTTCGGCGGTCTAGCGTAAGAGACGTAAGGCTGCGCGCCTAGGATGTCAAGTAAACCATGAACTGCAATAAACACCTTTGTATACAAGAAGACGTAGGCGTTGGTCTTTTGTGAGCTAAGACTTGAGGCAGCCTTGACACAGGCCTTTGATGATACAAATCCTTCCAAGGTTGTTTAATTACTTGGATGCCAACAGTAAGACATTACTGAAAGGTAACAAACCCAAGATCAGCTTGCAGAAATGCCACCAAAGTGAGTGAGACTCACATAAATGGAATACTCTGAAATTTCTGTACATGCTGGTTATACTGTTATGTAATATGCCGCACAAGCAGAGAATCCCCCACTCAAGATATGCCTCCTAATTTGAGGGCTACTTTAGCAGGAAGTCAGCCCACTGCACGTTTTCCATCACAGCCTTGTTTTCAGTAAGGAAACATTTGTAAAATGTTCTGCGGTTACATCAGTAACCCTACCTGACCCCAACCTATTATTAGAAGCCATAGTCTTGAGGACAGAACAGGGCAGCTGGGCACTTGCTGAGGTTTATTATTATTTAGATGATTGGAAATTAGAGTACTGTAATTGGCAGGCTAAGTCTGGAACAGGACTCCTCTTCTGCCTTCAGTTCCACCCCAAGTTAATCTGGCCTTCTCACATGCAGAATAGAATCTTCTGAAATACTTTTTGCAGAGGTGGGGAGGCTGGGGCCCTATGGATGCTGTTGGATTCCAGCTTCCATCAGTCCCAGTCAGCCTCACCACTGGCCAGAGATGATTATGTGAGTAGTAGTCCAACAATATATGGAGGGCCAGTGTTTCCCTGTTTTAATGACTGGACTAAAGTGCGGTGGTCACATTTTGCAGTGGTAGCAGTCCATCTGAGGCATGCATAAAAGCTAGGCCAGCTTAAAAGGCCCATCTATTCTGCTTAAACAGTGGCCAGCCAGATTCAGGTAAATTGGTTCTCATAATAAATACCAAACACATGCAAATAAACACATGCCAATCGCAAGCACAATGCCTTCTTTGGTTGTACGAAAGAGCAGAAGTCATTGGTTCGTATCTTGGTCACCCTCCTCTGCACATGTTCCAGCTTCACCTGGTAGGTAGTTTGGCTAGATTACTGGGACCTATGGTCCAGGAGGTAGGATGAATCCCCTTTGGGTCAAAGCACATTTGGCGTCTTCCTACTTGGCAGATTACGACTGCACAGCCTGCAATTGACACAACAGCTCTGTGGATTGAATGTGGTTAGCTTGGTAGCCAAAGTGACAACCTTCAACCTTACAGGCTATTCTACAAAAGTTACCAGTTTATTTACCCAGTCATATGTTAGCTATTCATGGCATTTAGATTTTGTGGAAGAGAAGAACCTGTTCTTCCAACCAAATTACCCCACCTGATTGCCAAGTGGTGAATCTTGCAAGCTGCTGTGTTTGGCTGCTTGAATCATTGAATCTTGGAGTCGGAAGGAACACCAAGGGTCATCTAGTCCAACCCTCTGCAATGCAGGAATCTCAGCTAAAGCCTGTGGACTTTTAACAAATATTTGTATGCCACTTTTCCAGACAAAACCCATCCAAAGCAACTTAGCAACAATAAAATTGCTAAGAGTAACTGACAAAATTGAAACAGACTCAGAACTCCTGCTCCTTAACCGTACTCTAGATTGCAGTCAGTGCTAGTGTAGGCCAAACAAAACAAATGATTATTTAAGGCCTTCTGAAAAGCCTTTGTAATCACATGCTGCCACTCTACTGGGGGTGTTAATAGTGTGGAGCCACCACAGAAAAAGCCCCCACTCTTGTGATCACCCACCTGATAGATCCAGGAGGTTTTCACAGTCCAGGGGATGCCCTCAGATGCTAGGGCCTCACTTACAGGAGGTATAAGCCTCTCACTTAAGTATTCATAAGCAAGGGTAGTATTGCAGATACAGCACAGTCCAAACCAGGGGTTGGCAAAAAAAATTAGCCGCGGGCCGGTCCACTGTCCCTCAGACTTTGTGGTGGGTCGGAGAAGCGGCGCTGGGGGGGGGGGGAGCTGGAAGAAGAGGCAAGGGGGGGCAAGTAGTCCTCCTCCCCAGCCCCACTTACCTTCCCAGGGGCTGCCGTCGCTGCTGCTTCTTGTGGGAAGGCAGAGCGAGCTCATCCGCTCCACTCTCTGGCCCACAGGAGTACCAGAGTGGTGGCGGCAGAGTGAAGATGAGCGGTGTGAAAGGGCTGGCTCTGGAGAGGGGCTGTTTAAAATGGCGCCCAGCCAGCTCAGCCCAGCTCCCTTCCTCCTGTAGGCAGGGCGGGGAGAAGCCAGGAGGAGGGAGGGATGAGGCGCCGCCACCACGGTGTGTGTGGGGGGGAATGGAATGGTGCGGGGTGTGGGGAATGGTGCAGCCCGAACGAATAGAATCCCTATGCCGATCCATGGACAGTCCGCGGGCTGGATCCTGAAGGCAATTGGGCCTAATCTGGCCCCTGGTACTTAGTTTGCCAACCCCTGGTCCAAACAAACCAGGATCAAGCATCAAGAATCAGTCTAGGTTCAAATGTGATCTAGGGAGAAAGGCAACAGTCCAAGGGCAGATAGTTCAGGTAAGGCAGAAAAACTAGGAGCTAGAGACCTGTGTTATTCCCAGCAAGTGGCAAGCTGGAGATGGAGGCCTTATACTAACTAGCCTTTTAAACCACACCCTGACCACCAGCTGCTAGCTAGTAAGGCCCAGAACAGTTTAGGGGTTGTGGGGTGGAGGGAATAGGGGATAAGTATCATTGTGTGAGTGGACTTCCTTCCATGCGCACATTCCCCACTTAGTGCTACACTGAATTTCATCCACAATCGTAGAAATAAACCTAATGAGAATCTGCATCACTCTGCATAGTACTGTTCTGTATGGCATTGTTATAGTGATCAAAGAGCCTCTGTTCCAGAAAGAGAGAGAAATAAAAGGGAAGAGGTAACTTGGAGAGCTTCGTTTGTACACATCACCACCTACAGGCACACCTGACATTTGCAGCACAGTCATTTGAAGTTTGTTCTGTCACTCCCCTCTGCAGAAGGGGAGAGGAGGGAGGTCATAAGACTTGCAAAACCTGATGCACATCTGGGATTAGCACATACTGGATCACCAGTATGTGGTTGTGGTTTCCAGGAGTCCCGGCACCTTTGTTACTGCTAGAAATGTTAGTAGTAACTTGAACCAGAATTTTGTAATCTGATTTTTATCTCTCTGTGCTATTGCACCACATTCTGCTAATTGTGAAACATTAGATTTTACTATGTATTTGTTTAATATTACCGTACACTTTTTGCACATTTTATGATTATAATTTTGCATGAAATGTAAAGTACATGTACGTTTTTAAAGAGCCTGACAAATATTCATGATGTAGACTAAAAACTTAGAAAATATTTGTTTCACCTAGAATATTTCTCTGGGGTGTGTGGGGGGATTTATGGTGCTGTATGTGTTATGCATGGTTAAAAAGACAGGGTTGTAGTTAACTATCTTTTACTTGGAGTAGATCTATTGAAATTAATTGACCTAAGTTAGTTGTGGTCACTAATTTCAGTGTGTGTTCTCTGCATAAAAGTTGACTACAGCCCACTATGAGTGAGTTAAAAGCACTGTAGCCAGATGTTATTTAACCAAAAAAGGTTTAGTTTAACATGTTAAGTAAAGGTTTCTCGTGTTCATTCAGTGACAGGAAATTTAATTGAATTTGTACAAATATTTATATACTGCTTATTCATAAATGATATCGGAGTGGTTTACAACAGTCATACTTAAAACTATATGTCAGGGGTTCAGGAGCAGAGGCAAGGGCAAGGGAGGAAACAGAGAGCGAGGGGGAGGAGGCAGAAGAAAAGATGAGTGATGACGACGACCCGAGATCTCCGAGTCTTTCCAGTGAATCAGAAGATTCACAGAAAGGAGCACCAGTGGCCAGGGCAAGGGGAGCCTAGGGGACGCCCCAGGAAGATAGAGCCAGAGGGGACTCAGAGGGGAGCAGTTGGAAATCGGGACCAGCGTCACCGCCAGAGAGCAGGGAAGAGGAAGGGAGCCAGGGATCAAGCGCTGGCAGCTCACAGCAGGGGGGAGGGCACGAGTCAGGAGTGGCCACACCTCCATCGGGGAGCGAAGAAACGGTCAGACGGAAGGTGGAAGGTTGGGCGCGCGCGCCAAGTTCAAATGCACAGGAAGGTGGCACAGTAGGCAGCCCGGAAAGGGAGCCAGGTCCCAAAGCCCGCCGAAAGGAGGGAGAAGAGTCAGGAGCGTCAGCGTCAGAGGAATCCCGGAAAGAAGAGACCCCAGGGGGCAGAGGGACCCAGAGAAGAACAGTCAGGCGGAAAAGGTGGAGCAGGGCTAGGATATTAAGTTGGTGTACAAGGGGCGGAGACTCAGACGGAGCTTCGCCGGTCTAACCATGAGACGTAGAGTTGCACGCAGCAGTTTGAGAATGGAAACTGTAACTCAATAAAGACTTTTGTTTAATGATCGCTGGCTAGCGTGATCCTCTGTGAGCTAGGATCTGGAAGCAGCTCTGACACTATACAATAAAAATAAGAATATTTTTAAACCAGAGATCAACTAACTATTTCAGAAGTGTATAAATTGCAGCTGTTAAGGGACACACTCTTAACAGACATGCTGTTTAGGCATCATTTGTATACAGTGGTGCCTCGCAAGACGAAATTAATCCGTTCCGCGAGAGTCTTCGTCTAGCGGTTTTTTCGTCTTGCGAAGCAAGCCCATTGACGGATTAGCGCTATTAGCGCTATTAGCGGTTTAGCGGCTATTAAAGGCTTAAAGGCTTAGGGGATTAGCTGCTAAAAGGCTATTAAAGGCTATTAAAGGCTTAGCAGATTAGATAAAGGGGGAAAAGCGAAAAAAACCTCAAGACTCGTAAGGTATTTTCGTCTTGCGAGCAAGCCCATAGGGGAATTCGTCCTGCGAAGCAACTTCAAAACAGAAAACCCTTTCGTCTAGCGGTTTTTCCGTCTTGCGAGGCATTCGTCTTGCGGGGCACCACTGTATTATCCTCTGCTGTTGCTAGTTCCAGTTTCACTGGAATAGGTTAGTTCTTATTCCACCATGAAATAGGGTGACTGTCAGTGGCCATCTGACATTTGCCCTCTTAATTTCAGGGAAGTGAAAGTAATGAAAGCCTTGTGGAGTAAATTACTGGCCAAAAACAACTTGTTGTCATCACCATAACTACGTTGAGTGTCTTCTGAAAGAGACTGTAGGAACCGCTCAACAAAATTTGTTTCAGGCATGCACTGTTGTCTGATTACAGTGGTACCTCGCAAGACGAATGCCTTGCAAGACAAAAGACGAAAGGGTTTTTTATTTTTTGAGCTGCTTCGCAAGACGATTTTCCCTATGGGCTTGCTTCGCAAGACGGAAACGTCTTGCAAGTTTTTTTTTTTCTTAACACCGTTAATACAGTTGCGACTTGACTTCGAGGAGCAACTCATAGAACGCGGTGTGGTAGCCTGTTTTGAGGTTTTTAAAGACTTTGGTGATTTTTGAAGCTTTTCCAAAACTTTCCCGACACCGTGCTTCGCAAGACGAAAAAAATCGCAAGACGACAAAACTCGCGGAACGAATTAATTTCGTCTTACGAGGCACCACTGTACAGTTACTTAATTTGCACTGAAATACCATTCTCAGCCTGGCAGGCCAAGGTTACCTTTGGAGTGCTTACAGAATGTTTCCACATCAGTATTAAATTGTCCCCTTGGAACTCTTTCATGGACATTTTGATATTGCCAAACTTACTTTGTTGTGCCAAGTCTCTCCCTCTCTTCTTCCAAAACGTATTTTAGTTTGCTGGAGAAAATAGTTTAACGTTTAGGTGGGAATGTCAACCTGGGCCCAGTGCTGGCCTGTATGCCAATCCTCTATAAAGTTAATGATAAATCTTTCATTGACATAACCAGATGTAGACAATGGCAGCCTTTGGAAACATATTTCACCATCTGATATAGCAGGAGAGCTACATTTTGTCTACACTGTGGGGCAGATTCAAAATGAGGATCATTTTGCTTCATGGATTCAGCACTTAGGTCTGTTTCACACCAAGATACATGTATGTATTAAGGTAGTAGTTCTATAAACAGAAGAGCTTCACTTGCAGAAGTAAATTCATACATCAAGGCTGCCAGGCAGACCCTCTTTTGCACCCATCTGCTTGTTTGTGTTTAGTGAGGGTTGGGTAATCCAGGATTTAGTATGCAGCCTGTGTTGGACAGGGCTGCACTCCTCACAGGAAGTTGCCTTACACCAAGCCATGTCATTAGTTTATCTAGCACTGCTAGGGATGCAGGTGGTGCTGTGGTCTAAACCACTGAGTTTGCCGATCAGAAGGTTGGCGGTTCAAATCCTCGTGATGGAGTGAGCTCCCGTTGCTCTGTCCCAGCTCCTGCCAACCTAGCAGTTCGAAAGCACACCAGTGCAAGCTGATAAATAGGTACGGCTGTGGCGGAAAGGTAAACAGCGTTTCTGTGTGCTCTGGCTTCCGTCGCGCCAGAAGCAGTTTAGTCATGCTGGCCACGTGACCTGGAAAGCAGTCTATGGACAAACACTGCCTCCTTTGGCCTGAAAGTGAGATGAGCACCGCACCCCATAGTCAAGTTTGACTGGACTTAACCGCCCAGGGGTCCTTTACCTTTTATACCTATCTAGCACTCTATTGTTTGCACTGACTGGCAGCTCTCCATGATTTCAGACAGGGGTCTCTCCAGCCTTTCCTGGAGGTGCCAGGGATTAAATATGGGATCCTTCTGCATGCAAAGAGCATCATAGAATAGAATAGAATCATAGAGTTGGAAGAGACCACAAGGGCCATCGAGTCCAACCCCCTGCCAAGCAGTATCCTTTACTACTGGGGCATTGCCCAGCCACTTTTAGGATGCAGAGTTGTAGTCCATCTGTCTCTGCTTCTAATCACTGCTGCTACCTGATCATCCAGGAGTCCTTTGTCTAGGTTTTGTTGGCTATTTCACAGATTAGTTGGGCTGCAGAAAGCGTGCTGGAGAGACCACACATTCAAGAAACGCAAAAGTAACTTTTGCTTGGTTTAATAACAAATAAAGTGGTACCTCGGGTTAAGAACTTAATTCGTTCTGGAGGTCTGTTCTTAACCTGAAACGGTTCTTAACCTGAAGCACCACTTTAGCTAACGGGGCCTCCCGCTGCCTGCACGATTTCTGTTCTCATCCTGAAGCAAAGTTCTTAACTCAAGGTAATATTTCTGGGTTAGCAGAGTCTGTAACCTGAAGCGTATGTAACCCGAGGTACTACTGTAACAAAAACAAAAATTCCTTTTACACTAAATTACATTATATCCATAAGTGTGACCCATCCACCAAGGTACTGAGAGAGCTACATGCTGCTCTTTATATACTATACCCAACAGCTTAATTAACATAACAGCACCTGCTATACTGCTTCACAGCTGTAAAACTAGGTCATGTTATTTGCTCTGGCCCTTAAAGACATACAAATCTCGTGAAACAATAATGAAACCTAAAATTTAAAGAAACCATTCAACAGGTTTGACTATTACACCACCTGTGTTCTTTCCTGGAGATGACTGACCTGGCCACAGTCACACATGCTTTAGTAACCTCTAAACTGGATCCCCGTAATGTGTGTTTGGTGGGACTGCCCTTGAAAAGCATCCTGAAACTATGCTGTTTCTTAGTATTGTCTGAGGCAATCTGCAGTGAATCATATCTCTTTTACAATTTTTGCCCATTTGGGTATTTCCCCCTCTTTAAAATACAACTTGTGAAAGTGTACCAAAGAAGCCTGTGATAGTAATAATGAGTAGATCACTAGTAGGTTCTCGGGAATCTGTTTTGTGTTAGGTGCAGCAGATGAAAGTTAATAGTCTAAGGCAGCTAACTAGAAGCTATCAGTTTGGGGGAAATCTGACTTGAGTGCATGTGCATTTTCTAGTTAAGTTTTTAATAAGATGATTCAGCATCTCTCTTCAGCATACCAAAGGAGAAATCAGTTTTCTCAAGCTGTTGTAAAATGACATGTGGTTCATCGCTATGTGAGGCAAATTACTGGAAAAATCTCTGTTCTACCCGTACTTTAAAAATAGTTAAGATAGCTAAGATTTCTGCCACCTGCAAATGTACTGAGTGCTTCTCCAATCAACAGAAATAGTATTTGGAACTAAAAACAAGAGGCGTGATCCAGAGAGATGTACAATTAGAAGTGAATTTTGCATGTCTAGCCATTCCAACAGTCATTGGTTTTGATGTTGTACGTTACCTTCTTTTCAGACAGAATCTAAATCCACTCATTCCCTATATTGTCATGGATTTGGGTTGCTTTTTTAAAATAAAAAGTTGTAATGTAATGATTACCTCTGGCTAGAGCAAACATTACAAGAAGGGATACTTTTTCAGTACATTAAGCATTATCTCACTTTCCATCTGTTTATGAAACTGTTAGCAGAAGCCACGTAGCTCCAATCACACATTCATTTGGCTCCTCTTCTATAACAAAGATAACATAATCTCTTTGCTATCCTGAGTTTGGTAGTCTCTTTTGAAGGCCCAAAAGATAGCTTGCTTGATAAATTATCCCAATTTGGAGCTTTTCGTGGTACAAAAAAAGGGGTCAGTTCTTACAGCAAGCCAAGTGTTCCCGTTAAGTAGCTATAAAGGTGCGCCTTGGGTTTCAGTAATTCTGTAGGTGAGCAAAGACTGAATCCAAGCCCAGAGAAAACACTACCCCTTTGCTTCAGATACCGCTAATGGGATCTTTTTGCTTTGCAAGACTTGTCCATCTTGCTGCTATGGTTGTCAGCTTATGGTTGTAATTGGTTACTGAACCATATTGGGTGCATATCGCTTGCATGAGATTAGATAGATCCTGGTAACTCAGTAGTCCAGGCATAGGCAAACTCGGCCCTCCAGATGTTTTGGGACTACAACTCCCATCATCCCTGACCACTGGTCCTGTTAGCTAGGGTTGATGGGAGTTGTAGTCCCAAAACATCTGGAGGGCCAAGTTTGCCTATGCCTGCAATAGTCTATAGGATGCTGTTCAAGTTAGTTTCACAATGGAGAAGCAACATTATTCCTCCAGAGTTAGTCTCTTATAAAAAGTATTCCAGGGTATCTGTATCCAGTGTTTTGTTTTTTGGTTTTTTTTGGGGGGGGGGTACGCAGGGGGTACGCATACCCCTAAACATTTTGTGAATCTAAGTTTGGCCTCATTGGGGGGCAGTATTTCAATATGAGTAGGAAAATGAGAGTATCCCCCAAACACTTTTTAGAAGAAAAGCACTGTCTATATGGATAACTTAACCAGAAGTATATTGTACTGTATTTGTACGAAATTTATGCAGGTATATTTAAGACCTCTGCATGGCCCGTTTCATTATGAGAACAGGGTCCCATGATAAAAGAATAAAATAGTTAAAAGAATAAAAGAGCTTTTATTCTTGGATTTTACTCACTATAGACAGGGTCTTGCTAGATTTATAGAATGTGGCCATCTAGTGGCACAGATGTAAAATGAATAGAATAATTTATTAAAACCCCTGTGTTGTGAGAATAATGCTTCTTTAAGCCTTGTGAGATGCAGAATATGTTTAAAATGCAGTGGTACCTCTAGTTATGAACTTAATTCATTCCGGAGGTCCATTCTTGACCTGAAACTGTTCTTAACTAGAGGCGTGCTTTCACTAATGGGGCCTCTTGCTGCTGCTGCGCCACCAGCACACGATTTCTGTTCTCATCCTGGGGCAAAGTTCTCAACTTGAGGTAACTCTTCCAGGTTAGCGGAGTTTGTAATCTGAAGCGTTTGTAACCTGAAGCATTTTTAACTCGAGGTACCACTGTATATCCCTGTGGCCAGTGCTTTTTTTTTCTTTAAAAAAAAAAGTTTAGGGGTACTCTCATTTTGACTCAAGACAACCACCATTTTACAGTTCAAATCGGGGGAAATAAATACAGTAAATGGACAAAAGTACAGAAATTCACAAAATGTTTAGGGGTATGGGTACCCCTGCGTACCCCCAGAAAAAAGCACTGCCTGTGGCTAAAATAAGGATTGAAGCTAAAGAACGTCCGTGGAGGTTTGGGTGGATATGGGCAGCCCACCCTCCTCAGACAGTATTTCTTCCAATTTGTCAGTGTTCATCATATTTACAAAGAAGTAATTTCCTACTGTATTCAATGGAGGCAAGTGTGTTGCAGTATTATGCTTCTTTAACACCCTCTGAATAGGAGATAAACGGCTTAACTGTGCAAGATTGGAACTTTTAATATTTTTATTTAACAAAACAAAATGTGTGCATGTTGCTTTTCTCCCAGTATTATTATTATTATTATTATTATTATTTTCTTTTAACAACAACAACGCTTGTGATTATAGTTTAGAAAAAAAAGAGGGAAATTTCTGGATTCAAATAGAACTTATGCAGAATTACAGCGACAAAATGTCTGTAAAATTAAATAAAAATGCATTCTATTTCAAAATGAATTAACCAAATTGAAAAAGAGGATTGGAAGGAAGGGGGGAGGGAGAGAGAGAAACAAGAAACTATATCATCACCTTCTGACAGTAGATGTAACCACCCTCCCCAAACCTGACTTCAAAACAGAGTAGTTTGTTTTGTTATGACTTCCATTTTTCCTTCCACCCACAAACCCCATGGTATTGGTAATTCTCAAACACACAGCTTCGTTGTGAAACAGAGTTGGGTGATCACACAAATATATTGATTAAAAAAACCCCACCAAAATATATTGATCAGATTCACCATTTTACCATGTCAACTTCCATAATGTAAGTTATGGTACCTGCTCTCATCGTATAAATGTATTTTAAAAGCATGCTTTTGTGTTGTTATAATTATTATTACAGTGGTACCTCAGGTTACAAACACCTTGGGTTACAAACACTTTAGGTTACAGACTTCACTAACCCGGAAGTAGTACCTCGGGTTAAGAACTTTACCTCAGGATGAGAGCAGAAATCGCACGGTGGCAGCGGGAGGCCCCATTAGCTAAAGTGGTACCTCAGGTTAAGAATGGTTTCAGGTTAAGAACTGACCTCTGGAACAAATTAAGTTCATAACCAGAGGTACCACTGCATATAAATGTGTTTCTTTTCATAAATCTGATGAGTACACTTACTATACCGAATCTTTAAATATATGGTTTCTTCCTCTCTCTCTCTTTTTTTCAAGGTCTCTTCCTGGGACAACAGCTGCTGAATGTGCATCAAATTTAAAGAAAATCTACACAGTACAAACTGTGCAGGTAACAAAGATGCTGCATATGAGAATTTCATGTTGCAATATAAAATCCCAGATATTATCGATAGACCAAACAGGTTTTTTTTTCCAGGGCTGAGATGTAACTTCTAATCTAACAAAAAAATTGAAAAATCAGTCAGTTTGGTTTATGATAAGGCATTGTATTACGATCAGTAGAAATTAGGGAAAAAATGCTTTTTGCAAACACCCTTTACAGGTCTAAAGTCATTGTTATTGCAGGAACAGAAAACTTATTATGTATCACTGAGTTTGCCCCTAATAAAATGATCATTCTTTGTATATTAAATTTAAAAGTATAGGTTTTATTAAAAAAAGAAAAAGCCACACATTTACTCATTTACTTAAAAAAAAATTTTTTTGTCATGAATGGATATATAAGTTGCTGAACTGTAGGGAATCCAGCATCAGTTTCTGCTAGTTTATGATAAACAGGCAAAAATTTGAAGCTGAGAACAGAAGAATTCCTCAGTGCTATAGTAAAACAAAGAAAATTACTGTGTAGTCTAACTTGGTCTCATCACAGTGTCAAGCAGACACAGAAAGTGCTCATTTTCAGGAAGCGGGGGTTCTGTGAATACTAATTTTGGTGCATGAAACAAAAGGAATTGGAGGCCGTGTGATGTAAAGGCCTTGTCACCATGTTGCAGTACAGATGGCCAGAATCCCAGGCTGCATTCCTGCTGCCAGTGTCCGCTCCCCATCTTTTGAGGCCTACTCAGGAAGACAGAAATGGACCCACCAATCTGTATAGACCAAACATCAACATGAGAAAGCCCACAAGCAAAAAAGGCACTGAATAATTCTCCCTTATATTGTGGGAAATTCCAGTGCTGCCTTGGAAGCAGAAATGCAACCTGCTCTTGCATTTGAAAGTTGTGCTGTACTTCTTGTTCTCAGTGTACAGGGATTGTAATGATCTGATTCAAGGTTGTGTCCAACAACGTCATTGCATGAGTGGAACAACGTCTGTTTATGCCTTGGATCGTAGCTCCCCCCCCCCAGTGTGCACCCCCAACTTGCTCTGGAGAATTGGGGGGTCCCTTAGAGCAGATATTTGTGGGGGGAGAAGTTCTGTTGCACAAGTGGAAGATGCTCCCCCCACACAGTGATTTGGTTAGATGCAACCAGCTGTACATTGTCTTGCATGAAATTCTTCCCTGAGTAGTCTCTTAAGTTTTACTCAGAACAGATCTGTTGAAATCACTGGACATAACATTGTTGTTTAGTCGTTTAGTCGTGTCCGACTCTTCATGACCCCATGGACCAGAGCACGCCAGGCACTTCTGTCTTCCACTGTCTCCCGCAGTTTGGTCAGACTCATGTTTGTAGCTTCGAGAACACTGTCCAACCATCTCGTCCTCTGTCGTCCCCTTCTCCTTGTGCCCTCCATCTTTCCCAACATCAGGGTCTTTTCCAGGGAGTCTTCTCTTCTCATGAGGTGGCCAAAGTATTGGAGCCTCAGCTTCACAATCTGTCCTTCCAGTGAGCACTCAGGGCTAATTTCCTTAAGAATGGATGCGTTTGATCTTCTTGCAGTCCATGGGACTCTCAAGAGTCTCCTCCAGCACCATAATTCAAAAGCATCAATTCTTCGGCGATCAGCCTTCTTTATGATCCAGCTCTCATAACTTAGTCATGTTCTTTAATTTCAGTGAGTCCACCGTGAGCAGAACTTAGTTGAATACCACCCATAGTCTTTAGTTTGGGGGAGTAAAGGCCAGGTAGGAATATATGCACATGGTTGTCTTGAAGATTTTGCACCCCAGGATTCCCCTTACCCAATTTCTTAGTAGCAGCTAGTGGCATAACATAATTTCTCTTCTCCATGCACTCCTCCCATGCACACTCAAAAATCTGTACACTCAGAAAATAAAAAAAAACCACAGAGCAGATATGTGGAGGCACATGAAAGGGAAGGTGAAGATTCATTGCCGAAACAGAATTCATTCTGCTTGTTCAATGGCTTCATTGGATGCAACCCTTTGAATGTTCAATGCAGAACTAGTTAGCTATAGGTATACTGGATAGTTGCCCTTTCAAAAATAATAATTAAAAAGCATGCTTAAAATGTCATGTTTAAAATCATTGTTTAAGATGCTTATTGTTGATTCAATTCCCTTGTTGTTTAGGATGTTGGGGGTTCCTTGTTTTCTTTATGAAGATAACATTATAGCTACAATTTACTTTAAAATGTGTTAGTTGTTTTGCTGAAAGTTATGGGCTGCAAGTTTAAGGGGTGACTTACAAACTCATCTGAGAGGGCATTGAATACAGAACTGTTGCATTATTGAAGATTAGTTGTAGGCTAGTGGCTCAGTTTCTACCACGGTGGAAGAAAACCAGCTTCCTTAGGAAACACAACTGGGTCTAGTTCCAATACCTTGCATTTTGCTTGAAACTGTTTCACTTGGTTATTGCTTTTTAAATCACTGTACAGTGGTACCTCGGGTTAAGTACTTAATACGTTCTGGAGGTCCGTTCTTAACCTAAAACTGTTTTTAACCTGAAGACCACTTTAGCTAATGGGGCCTCCTGCTGCTGCTGTGCTGCCGGCACACGATTTCTGTTCTCATCCTGAAGCAAAGTTCTTAACCTGAAGCACTATTTCTGGGTTAGCGGAGTCTGTAACCTGAAGCGTCTGTAACCCAAGGTACCACTGTAATAGTTTTGGACTGTATCTTATAGTAACCCACCCTGGCATATTCTGGTGAAGAGCATATAGGAAATCAAAAAGTCTTGGTGTAGCTATCCTTCAGGTTAGGGAAGCATGTAGAAAAAACAAGAGCAACACCCTGTTCCCTATTTCTGAACATGGAGAGCTCTCTTATACCAAGTCAGTTCCTTGGACTGGCAGTGACTCTCTTGCAGGGGGTGGTCTTCCTTATCTGGAGATGCCAGCGATTGAACCTGGCACCTCTTTCAGGCATAGCATGTGCTGTACCACAGAGCTAAACAAAGCAAGGAAATGCCGTGCTGTTATGTGTGAATTTACGAAGTGTAATAATTCTCTTTAGATCTTCTGGAGTGTTTATAACAATATTCCTCCTGTGACAAACCTGCCTCTGAGATGTAGTTATCATTTAATGCGTGGAGAAAGACGGCCGCTGTGGTATGTTTATATTCACATTATTATGGCACTCTGGGCACAAACTGCATTCATTATTTGTTTATTTACTTGTAAGTTAGAAGAAATGGGGAAAAAATAGAAACAAAAGTGGAGAGGCAGGGGCAGGGGGAAGATCAGAAGGTTATTTTTTAAATAAAAAACAACAACTATGTTTAGTAAACATGATAAATTACACTGAAATGGTTTTTGTTTGCCCATGGTGTTTTTTAAACGTTAATATTATGCAATATGATTTTCGCATATAATTGCCTAAAAGTAGGCTTTGCAAAATCAAGTTAAAATATGTTGAAATTTTGGTTATTTGTGGCAAGTGCTGCATAGACAAGGCTGGGCTTCAGGGAGCTATGCAATCAGTTGCCCTCTCTCAGCATAAACTTTGGATTTATGTTTCTTGAACAGTAGATCACTTTTTCATGTGGCAGACCACCTTTGAAATGGATACAAATGCAGAGATACAAGTGGAGTTTTGCGGGTGGTGGTGGTGGGGCACATCTTATGCTCACAAAGTGCAGTATCCTGCTGGGAGTGCTCAAGGTCTTGGACATGCCTGAAGTAGCCATGTCCAATGTATTTATAAAGGTAAAGGGTAAAGGGACCCCTGACCATTAGGTCCAGTCACAAATGACTCTGGGGTTGCGGCGCTCATCTCGCTTCATTGGCCTAGGGAGCCGGCATACAGCTTCCGGGTCATGTGGCCAGCATGACTAAGCCGCTTCTGGCGAACCAGAGCAGCGCACAGAAATGCCGTTTACCTTCCTGCCGGAACGGTACCTATTTATCTACTTGCACTTTGACGTGCTTTCGAACTGCTAGGTTGACAGGAGCAGGGACCAAGCAACGGGAGCTCACCCCGATGCGGGGATTCGAACCGCCGACCTTCTGATCGGCAAACCCTAGGATCTGTGGTTTAACCCACAACACCACTCACGTCCCAATGAATGTATTTATAGAAAAAAAACAAAAAAAACCCCTATGGATCTTGCAGACTTGAATCAAACTTCTGCTTACTTGGATGTTGATGCTGACAACTTGCTCTTTTTAAAACCTAAGACCAAAATGCGGTGCACGTTCTTGTTACACGCACAATGTTTTTCCCTTAAAACCATGAGAAGAGTCTACTGAGGAAAGCAAGACAAATACTGTAAATCATAAAACAGTCTGTACAAATGAACGTGTTTTTTAAAAAACACACATGGTTTTTTTAAAGGCACTTGCTGCTTAAGCTGCAGTTCTGAAAAAAGTACTGGCCATCAATGGGGAAAGGCAACAAACCATTATGCCTGTCTTGTAGACTCAGGAAGTTAATGTTATGAGGGGCTGCATCAGTCTACAGTAGAGGTGTAAACATGGGCAGATTGCAAAAGTGAGCAACACTTGATAAAATTGCTGCTTTGGTGAGCCTCACCTAGTTTGCTGACAAGTCCCGCCCGCACATGATGCAAAAAGTCATTATACCCAAGATCAAGGTGAGCTGTATGTTTGGGCAAGTGTTTTTGTCTCTTCCGAAATTATTTTAGACTTGCTTATAGGGGATTTGTTCCCTTTTTTTCTATGCTAGAAGGATGCCAAAGGGAAATGAAAGCTGTTCTGTTTCCTTTCATACCTGCACTTGTATTTGAAAGCTGCATCTAAGAGGGGCCATAGTTTGAAGGTCATAATTGAAAAAATATGCTTGTTTCTTCTGAAGTCCCCTTGATCAAAAGTTTCACAGTCACTTTTTTGTAGGGGAAAATTGGTAGCACTAATGTCACAGCTAAGTCATTTCCTTTTAATTATTTTGATAGCGGCCTTGTTTTTGTCTTCTAATTCATGAAATGTGGTTTAATAATCAAGATTATAACAATGTTTGAGGAGTGTATTTATTATATATAATAAACCATAGACTTGCGTGCCTTCCCTGCCTTTTTCACTTATTCCGAAACTTTCACCAGCGGAACTGCCTATCCACAACCCAGATTTTGCTTTAAATGGCACTAGAATGTATACTTGTATCATAACTGTTAGGTTCTGAAGTAGGGTTACCTAAATTGCAGTATATTAGTCAACAAAGTTATTCTATTAGTGCAAAGACTTTCACCTGTGCACCAGGTATCCTCTCCCTATGCATCCTTCAATCTGTTCTAGAGGTTCCTCCAGCCCTTTGAAGCATATTGGGCGGGGTGGGGGGGGAAGTCTCAACACGCAGGAAGATGGCCTTTGCACTGTTGGGACAAACTTGTTGGATATGATCCATGATAAATACATGTTTAGGTATGATCAGGCTATGTTCAGAAAAATCTTTTCATGCACCAGCAGATTACTCAGAGTCTGCCTACCATTAGGCAGTGTGAAGCAGTTGTTTCAGGCAGCAGGTGCTGGAGGACAGTAGCACAATAGGTTTCATTTTTTCCTCAAAGTACGTCAAGTCCTGCAACTTCTATGAAGTATGAACAAGCTTTCCATTATTATTATTTTGACTGATTTATTGTGTTGGCTTGGGAAGGGGTGAAGAACTAAAGCAGGCATAGGCAAACTCGGCCCTCCAGATGTTTTGGAACTACAACTCCCTTCATCCCTAGCTAACAGGACCAGTGGTCAGGGATGATGGGAATTGTAGTCTCAAAACATCTGGAGGGCCGAGTTTGCCTATGACTGAACTAAAGCCTGACCTGTTGACCACTAGGCATCCTATTTGGTCCTTTCCTATATTCTGAGAATTCCCTAGGCATTTCCCCCTGCTTCAGAGCTAAAAAACTTGCATTTATTTTTATGTTTAAATGAGGTAAGATTCTGGGCTGTTGGAATCTGTGCCTTTGCACTGTACCTAGGTGTAAAAAAATTGCCAGTCTGTGCAGCCAAGCTTTGTTTTTTCCTCACAACTCAGGGAAGAAGAAAGCAATGCCAAGGGAGGTGTGTGGAAAATGAAGGTCCCCAAAGACAATACGGTACGTGCTTAACATTATATATAGTCGTACCCAGTTGGTTATGGTGATGCAGGTGCGTGTGGTCTACTTATTTAACTGTAAAGGATCACTCACACTAAACTTCAGTTGTATAATGAGATGACCTTTTTTATTTTTTATCATGGATAGCTCAAGACATTTTATGTCTGCCAGTGTAGTGTAGTGGTTAAGAGCGGTGGACTTGTAATCTGGTGAACTGGGTTCGTGTCTCCACTCCTCCACATGCAGCTGCTGGGTGACCTTGGGCTGGTCACACTTTTCTGAAGTCTCTCAGCCCCACTCACCTCACAGAGTGTTTGTTGTGGGGGAGGAAGGAAAAGGAGATTGTTAGCCACTTGAGACTCCTTAAGGGGAGTGAAAGGTGGCATATCAAGTTCAAACTCCTCCTCCTCCTCCTCTTCTTCTTCTTCTTCTTCTTCTTCTTCTTCTTCTTCTGCCTCTAATAGCATTCTGAAGTGTGTGTTGTTTTCTGAGCATCAGACTTCCACTCATGTGGGTGCTGGCTGCTTAAAAGCTGCTGGCACTGTTACTATTTTCTTCAGATGACCGTTGTATATTTATCAGACAGCCAGTATCTTCACTTTTACTTTTGCCCTCTTTCCTGCCTATAGTATCTGGTTTGCTCCAGAACAGATTTGGATGCATGATCATTGAAGTTTTGATTGAAGTTGGTGTGATATCCAACTAAATCATACTCTGAGTAAACCCTATGAAATTAATGGGCAAGTCCACTGGTTTTATGGTTCTGCTTTGAGCATGAATTAGCTGGATATCACCTGTTGAATATGTTCAAGTTAAACATATAGATATAATTTTTGTGAAATTGTAATAAAATGCACCAGAATAATGTTGAGGCTGTTGCAGACAGTATAGCTGTTCAAACTGCAAATGGAATACTTACTGAAATGTAACCAGCTTCTTCATTTTCTTGGTTTTTTGCTAGTCTGCAGTTTGGAAAGAACTGTTGCTTGCTACAATTGGGGAACAGTTTACAGACCGCTGTGCAGGAGGTGAGAAAGTACTTCCTGTTATTTGCTTTTGTCTTGATTTTTTGAGCACCCCTTGCTTAAGTTTTAAGCATAAAATAGGTGCAGCACAGAAAAGGTTACTCATTGCTAGCATAATTTACAAATAAAAATCCCCTGCTGACACTTTTCATCCTATCAAAGCGCATTGTCCCTTTGCCTGATTAAGCCTAGGGAGAGGGATTGATTTTCTCCAACTTTGTTCAGGCAACCTCCATAATCCAAGCGAATTATCCAACTGTTTGATCCTTGCCAGGAAAAGAATGTAAATGTCTTCACTTGCCATCCTACTTTTGTTTTTTTGTTTTTTGTTTTTTAAATAATATTTATTGCTTTTATACCTTACAAAAAGAAAAAAAGAAAAAAGAAAAGAAGAAAAAAAAGGCAAAAGAGAAAACAATACAATACAATATATAAACAATACAAAACGCAACATTAACATTAACACATTAAACAAAACAAAAGCAAAAACAATTCAAAAACACGCATCATACCATCTCAATATCCTCTCTTTCATTCCCTTGTTTCATCGACCTCCTCTCACCTCCCTTTTTGTATTCCATTTCTATTAATTGTTTCAGCAAACCCTTTCCATCTTTCTCTATTGTCTGTCATGTAATTATCTTAACATATTTTAACCTTATTTTCCATTAATACTATAATACTTATTTATACTTAATTCCTTAGAATATTTCTACTAAAGCCGTATAATTCCCTTCCAACATTTTTCTAACACTCATTAATTTTACATTATTTCCATATATAGATTTTAAACTTTTTCCAATATTCTTCCACCGTCTCTTCTCCCTGGTCTCGGGTTCTGCCAGTCATTTCCGTCAATTCCAAATAGCCCATCAACCTGGTGATCTTCTATCCGAGGCTCTTAACTCTTTTCCAAGTCCCTTCTGCAAGTCTTCTTCATATTTATACATGCACATTACTTTGTCTTCTCCTGATCTTGTTCTTATTTTCCTTCCTTTGATGCTGAAAAGTAGATCTCCGGGAAATTCCCATCTAGCAATGTTTTTATTCCTTCTTGACAAGTCAGCCAAATCTCCATAGTTAGAACTGAAATTCAAAAGATATTTCCAGTCGTGTTTCAAAGTTCCTTCAAGTCGGGCAGTCCCCACAACTCCAGTCTCCTTCTGACCCAAGTCCAGGTCCCAAAGGTCAATCTCCAGTCCAAGCGGGGCTCCAATCCTAAAAATCTGACTTTCTCTAAATTTAGTCTTGGAAGGCATCAACTTATAATCATCAAATTGCAACTGTAAGGCTGGAGCTCTCTCCCTCACCACTTGTGCCGCTTTAGGTTCCACAGCAAAAACTTTCTTCCCTGCCTTCTCCTCAATTTGCCATGTCAAAATAGATCCCTGTATCAATTCCTGAATAATCTCTGTACTAATGTTGACTTTTTGTGCCAAGTTAGTCACTTTTTGTTCCAAGTTATCAATTTTTATAGTCCTCGCATCCGTCTTCTTATAAAGCTGTTCCAGTGAATCATTAATCTTACAAAACGCAACCACTAAGGCTTCTTCTGTCAACACTCTTAACGATTCAAGGTCAATCCCAGATTCTCTCAGTTTTATCTTGCAGGTGGAAAATTCCCCCAGCTCAGCTCTTGTAACAATTTCAAAGGCTTCCTCTAGGGGGAAACAATTTCTATTTGTATCAATCCTTTTAAGCACAGTTCAAACAATAAAGTTAGCTTCAATTTTCAGTTACTTTTACTCCTTTTTAAACGCAGAAGGAGACAATGGAAACAATGTATTTCTCTTCTTTAACTTACTGTCAGCAGACGATCTATTCACAGTCAATGAGCATATCCGAAACTTCAATCTTTACTAGCAGCCCGTTTCCAGGTTCAGAGCGGTGGTAATTTGACTTTCTTCACTCTCTCCTGCAGGCTTACGCGATCTTAAATTTCCCCCCTCTTCTCCTGCTTCCAAGGGGGGTTTGATGGTTTAACCGATGGAAGTTAATCCTTTATGTGAGACTTTCCAAGGCTTTAGCTTGCAGCCTCTTTGCTTCAATCTATTTACAAAAAGGGGAGGCGGACTTCCTGTTTGAAACCTCCCCATTTCGGTGCCAAATTAAGACGTTTAAAAATCCAATTTTCCGTTCTACTCACGGGTAGTTGTTTTCAGATCAAATTGTCTACAGGAAAAAGTCAGCGCTCTCCTGCAACAGCAATGCGGCTTCACTCCGTGAAAGAAGCAGTCGATTCGAAGCACCGCGCCACTCACCCCACGTCGCTCCGGATCCCCGAAACCGGGTTTCCCGCGAGTAGGGGAGGCGCAAAAGGTGCCAGCCGAATCCCACGTCCACAAGCTTCTCCCGCCTGTGGTTTTTAGTGGGTCTCCGCCTTCGCCGTGGCGGCCAGACCCTGATTTCCACGGAGCGGATTCCTCCCGATCAGAGGAATTCCTCCATTGCCGGAGGCGCTAACCCGGAAGTCTCCACTTGCCATCCTACTTTTGACATATCGGCATTGCTCGCTTTTTGTAGAATTTGTGGACAGAGAGTGGGAACAGGACTGCCACAGATCCTACACAAAGTGACTCAAAGGAAGAAGAGAGAACCTAGAGGAAAGAGGTTGCTCTTTCATTGGCTGCCATCACTTTCGGTCATTAACAGTGGAAAGGCATCCTCCTGCTGTGTTGGTTAATGATTTGAAAGGAGTATTTCTTGACCAAGTCAAGACAAATAAAGCATAAGAGGGTACTGGTGCTTTGGCAAAAGATTCTGCCTCCCTTAGTGCCTGATTATGCACCAACAGAAAGCCCGCACCACGCACTGCAATGAGGGTCCTAGAGATGTTAGGCGCTCCAGCTTTACACACAAAATTCACGAATCATGCTGATGTTCTTTGCATCTCTCTAGATTTCCGTGCTCTTATTTGGAAAACAGGCTTACCTTCAACAACAAAATACAAATTCTATTAAGTTTCATATAATAGAATATAAGTGTTACCAATCGTGCTTAGATTTAGTCTTAGTGATTTTGGGACCTCTTGTTTTATGTTATGTCCACTATATATAGTGATTGGGATGTCTAAATAGTCCCCCCTCCTCAAATAATTAGAGCAGACAGAATTATACTGGTGGTTAGGGCAGCAATCCTGTATACACTTACCTGGGTGAAAGTCCATTGAAATTAACAATTGTCTTCTGAGCCAGGCATTCAGCTACTGCCTGACCATGTTTGGTCTTTTTGTGTATGCATATAATATATAAAAATCAGATACAGGGCTCAGCTGTTTACATTATCCCCATAATGTGGTTTGTGACCTTTTTACTGGTCTGCACTTTTATCTGTAGTGTCATATTTTCTTACGTAGCACTTCTTGGGATAATGCTAGCAAATAGCATTAGAAATAGGATAGGTACTTTTCTGTGTTAAAATCTGAATTTGCATGATTGCTCTCCCTCCCCGGCTTTGTATACCCAATATAGTACCAACCATAAATAAATAAATGTCCTTTTATAGGTACAGTTGTTTTACAGCAGGCATCCCCAACCTTCTGCCCTCCAAATGTTTTGGACTACAGTTATCATCATCCCTGACCACTGGTGCTGTTAGCTAGGGATCATGGGCGTTGTAGGCCAAAACATCTGGAGGGCCGCAGGTTGGAGATGCCTGTTTTACAGTGATGAAATAAGTAATATGTGTCAGTGGATAGTAAAATAAAATAATGTTATTATTTGATTGGTTTGGAAAGCCATGCAGGGTTGAATTACTTGCCATCTCCCAGACTGCTGTGGTTCAGTCAAACCAACAAAAACAAGCCAAAAGCACAAACAGGGCAACACATTTCAAAAATCTCTGTGATATGCTTAATACTAAAGTTACCTATTTATAGCTCATAATTATTGAGGTAGAATTTATACCAGTTACAAGGGAAAGTTGTACAAAAAGCATGTTTACAGTAAAGTTCCCCCACCTAACAGCATGTCCTTTAGGACTAATTTGTTGTTTTTTATTCATGGTGTGTTTTTGATTTGGGGTGAAGAGTCCATACTGGCTCCAGTAACAAAGATAGTTTTTAGATGATGATGATGATGCTTTCTCTTGGCAGGTGATGAAGTAATAGGAGTTAGCGTCAGCGTCCGTGATCGGGAAGATGTTGTTCAAGTTTGGAATGTAAACGCATCATTAGCAAGTGAAGCTACAGTTCTAGAAAAGATCTATGAACTTTTGCCCCAAACATCTTTTAAAGCAGTTTTTTATAAACGTAAGTAAAAATTGTGTATGTAGCATGAAGCAGAGTGTGCTGTCCAAATGACTTTAATCAACAAAATGTATTTAATTCTTGCATATTTAATAATTGCGTCATCTTGTCTTTCAGCTCACAAAGAGCACCATGCTTTTGAAGGTGGACGCAGGAGACATTAACACAGGAGACAGTCCTGAACTCAAGTTGTAATTTTTAGTTTTTGGGGGTTTTTTTTGAGATCATCACAGTGGAAAGATGGACAAAAACACTTGCAAAAGCACCACAAAGCCTGGTTATTTTAGATTGTTATATTCCTCTTGAGCTGGTGCTATTCAAAAGCAAGGAGTATTGCTGCCTCAGTTGCTGATTGTGATGTTTCCTTTCATGACTGCTTAACAAAAAAAAAGTCACTTTTACTTAGTATTCCTTTCTTTTTAAGGTAGAAGACTTTACAGTTAAGTAGTTTACTATACCTAGTTCAAATGCAAATATGCACAGGCATGATATGCTGCTCTTTCTAGACTTGCTGTACCTAGAGAAATTAATAGCTTTGTGAACCATGTTTTTCTGTAATACTTTGCTTTGAGACATTCCTATCATGTTAAGAGATACACACAGATTTGTCCCCCAGAGAGGTTGTAATTTGCACTGTCCTAATAGGCAGTGGGAGAAATCCAAGGGGAATCCTGCTCAAGCTCCATTGAAATGAATGGAGCTCGCACAGTACCTGGATTGCTTCCAATGTCCTCTGCTTATGCACTGATAATGCGCATACTGTAAATATATTTTAATGATCACTGAACAGAGCCCATAGACTGAAAATACACTTCTGATGTGACTAATTTTAAACTCTTTAGATACAAGCCCCTTAAAATAAGGGGCTGGTTCTCACTTGGTGATGGCCCATATCTGTCCTGAGAGCACAGGTAGACTTGAAGCTGGACATTGCTCGGGTTGAAGCATTGTTTGTGATGATGTATCACTGTTGATTTCTGTGATCATAGTCACACTGGAACAGATGCAGTTATGCTGATTGTGGTATGGAAGCTGCCATCAGGTGTGGAGCAGTCAGTTGTTGATTGGCATTTGTTTTTAGCTATTTCAAATACCTATGGGGGGGGGGGATGAATGAAATCGCAACTCTTTGTTCCAGAGGTGCCTAATATAGTTTGAATTAAAAATAATAATAAGTATAATATTTCTTTTTTAAAAAAACAAACACCAAAACTTAAACCCCTCTGCTGTGCTCTCACTTAAAATGGGAACCTTAACAAATCTTCTTTAGCAAACTCTTTATAAAACAGATCTTCCCTTCTTACCCCCCTGCAATCATATCAGATGTGTTCTTCACCCATGAAGGTCAGTATCAAATGCATAGTAATTTTTATTGTAAACATAACTAGTTCAACTGTATCTAGTTGCAAGCTATGATGGCGCCTTAAATACATTTTTCGATAGAGAAGAAAAGTTGATTACACTTTGAAGCATGAATGTGAAAATTCTCAACATTAGTTTGTGTGTGTTTTCCTCCCCGCACTAATTATTGGAGTTTTTCTTGTGCTTTTTATTACAGTACCAAAGATTTATTTAGTTCCTCACAATGAGCTAGAGGAATGTGCATTCTCTTCTAGGCAGCATTACTGGATTAGCATTTAGTATTTTGGAAATCGTTCTGACTGCACTGATAACAACCCATTTAATCCTACAAGAGGCAGCCATTGGAATTCAATGTGTTTCTAAATGAATCAATTTCCCCTTTTTAATTTTTGTACTAGTTCATTTGTATTTATGAATTAAGATTTGTGCATTTTAACTAGCATTATTAAAAGTTTTATAAACTCGTACACATCTATTCAGAACTGCATTTATTATTGGGTTCCCTCTCTCTTTTTTTAAAAAAAAATTTAAGTGTTCTTCAAGGCCACCACCCTGAAATGCTATTTTTATACATAAGAGCAAACATTTGTCTATATTTTTCAAAGACCTAACAGTACAGTATGTCCACGGTATTTACAGAATCAGGACTGAAGAAGCCATTACTAAAATTTCAAAAAGGGCTCATAAATCACTTTCGTCTCGTTGGGGAAACATTGGAGAGGCAACTCAGCACTGAACATCACAAGATGCTCTAGTCTAGAACATGGGTAGGCAAACTAAGGCCCAGGGGCCTGCCCCGGCCCAATTGCCTTCTAAATCCAGCCTGCGGATGGTCTGGGAATCAGTGTGTTTTTACATGAGTAGAATGTGTCCTTTTATTTAAAATGCATCTCTGGGTTATTTGTGGGGCATAGGAATTCATTCACTCCCCCCCCCCAATATAGTCCGGTCCCCCAGAAGGTCTGAGGGACAGTGGACCGGCCCTCCTGAAAAAGTTTGCTGACCCCTGTTCTAGAATATGTCACTGTCATTCTCTAACTTTATTTTATTTGGCTTCCATAGCAACATAGTAATGTCCCTCTTAGACATAGGCATGAACCATGTACAATAAAACCATACCATTTAGCAACCATACCTGCGTTGGTGGGATGTCTTTCCTTTTGGTCTGTTGCCAGCAACGGAGATGACTCAGGAGGTGACAATGAACAACCAGGAACAAGACCTTGGAGTCATAGTGGGTAGCTCAATGATGATGTTGACCCACCAGGGTGCAGCAGCTGTGAAAAAGGCAAATTCCATGCTAGGGATCATTAGGCATGGAATTGAAAATAAAACTGCCAATCTCATTATGTTGTCATACAAATCTATGTTGTGGCCGTATTTGGAACACTGTGTACAGTTCTGGTCATCTTGCCTCAAAGAGGATATTGTAGAATTGGGAAAGGGTTTAGAAAGAGGCAACCAAAACGATGAATGGGGTAAAGTTTGGCACGTCTTAGTTTAGAGAAAAGGTTGGCGTGATAGAAGTCTATAAAATTATGCAAAGCATGAAAAAAATAAGAGAAGTTTCTCTCTCTTTCATAACACTAGCTTCTCCACGCCAGCCACTCTTGGATGGCACTGATGGTATATGAGTACAACTCAGAGTGACTTTTAGCCTGACTGGCACCGAAACAGTCTTGGCTGCCCTGATGAACAATGCGTACTGGCAAAAAGGCAAGGGAGTGTCGTGTTGGCAATTTCCCAGGATTTCTCATTGGTATCTGACACCCACCAGCTACTGTATCCTTCTGGACTCATCCTGGTATCCTTAGGATACCTCAGCTCCCGAACGCCTTGGGAGTCGAAAGTTCCGGCTCCCAAACAATCAAAACCCGGAAGTGATTGTTCTGGTTTTTGAATGTTCTTTTGGAAGCTGAGCATCCAACAGGGCTTCCTTGCAGCCGTGCTTTGAAAGTCGAACATTTTGGGAGTCATATGGACTTCCGGAATGGATTCTGTTCAACTTCCGAGATACGACTGTAATTCTTTTCCTACCCTGCCGGATTAACTCCTGAAAGTGGTGCTGGGGAATTCTCACTCTTTGTTTTCTGACACTTGTGCTGTGAAATACTGCAGTGCCGTTTTTGTCCCCCGTGCCATGAAACATACTACAACAACAGCACCAAATGAGGTCGTTTTGAGTGAGGTGTTGTAACAGTCATAAATTATATTTCCATTGCTATAGTGGAAGTGTGGAACAGGTACCTCTGTTAGCATTTCCCTCCTCCGTTGCTGATGTGTGATTGTTACATCGCATGTCTGTGTTTACTTTCTAGGCTTGGAAAGCTTGAGAACGGAAGCTAGCCTTATCTCTTCCGCTCTGTTGTGTTTTTGTACTTTTTACTTTCTGTTCTCTCTCGGAGCTGAAGTGAGAGGACGCCATGATCACTTTGTCCCATATATACTGCTTAATAAAAGCTTAAAATGAGCACACCAATCTCCACTTCGTTTCTGCTAATCTCTGCTGAGTGTGCATACACATAGGCATATGCATCGCTGGAGTGCCCAGGGACTGATAATTTGTGGACATCCCAGAGCTGTGCAACATCAGGAAGACGTCCAGAGAGATTTGTCTCATCGCGGGGGCTGTGTATTCTGCCAACCTCATGGTGTAGTTAATGGACTGGATGAAGGTGGACAAACTATAAACCCAGAGTTAATCCTGACAAAATGTAAGTACAGTTAGGGAGGGGGGGTGTCACTGGATCTGGGTGGTGACGTTCCTCTTGGTTTTTGGGTTGCATTCCCCGTTGACAATTCAAGTTTGCAGCTTTGGGATGCCCCTTGATCTAGCCCTTATTTGGTTGGTGTAAGTGGCTTTGTTGACGTGGAGCACCTTTCACCAGTTTAAGCTGGTGCATCTGCTGCAAGTGCCTGGTGACAGACATGCCCTCGAGGATCTGGAGCTGTCCTTGAAGACTATTCGAACAGTTTTTCTTTTTAAAATAATTAACTAGGTAGCAAGGTTTCTGAGCACAGCTCAATATTACTGCGTATGACCTATAAAACCCTATATAGCTTAGGGCAGGCATAGGCAAACTGGGCCCTCCAGATGTTTTGGGACTACAACTCCCATGATCCCTAGCTAACAGGACCAGTGGTCAGGGATGATGGGAATTGTAGTTCCAAAACATCTGGAGGGCCCAGTTTGCCTATGCCTGGCTTAGGGCCATACGTTCTGAAGGACCACCTGATTCAAAGTAGGTTCTTAGACGCCCTGTACCTCCAGGCTGTGATATAGTGTGGTTTTTAATCTGTAATAAAGCCTCTACTGCAGAGGGGCTCTGGTCACAGAATGCCCTCCACTGGAATTTGGTGTCTACACTTCCTTTTTACCTGGTTTCTAAAAAAATTTGTTTTTGCAAGTTTTTAATGAGATGATAATTTTACGCATTTGTGTGTTTGCTGATTTTACTTTGTTGGCAGGCTTGTGCAGTGATTTCTGCTTTTTCCCTCTCTACCATTTTTGCAGGGTGATGTTGGTGGTTTTTTCAATGTTGAAAGGCAAGATTAAAAAAACCAAAACACAATCCATCTTGCAGCCCCTCACCTGCATCAGATGCTCTTGGTGCACGAGGAGGAGCCATGCCAGATTTGGGTGGGGTAATTAAACTAGGCCTTTTGAACTGTGTGCCTAGAGAAACAATCATATGTCCCTTGCATGTGCACGCATGTTCAGTAACATACAGAGTGGCTGGATAAGTCCTCCCTTCAATGCTCGCTCACTCCGTTTTTCCTTTTCTTTATTTTTCTTGCTTTTGGGCAAAACTGGTATATCTGGACATTTTGAGAATGCTTTTTATTTATGCCCAGATATCTATACGAAAGTATGCCATGTTTAAAACCAGTGGGACTTAATTTGTAAATATCCTTAGGAGTGTGCCATTAAGGTGCTCAATAACTCTGCCTCTTGCTCCAGTGCTGCCACAGTACAGCTCAGTTAGTAGTGCATGAGACTTTTAATCTCAGGGTAGTGGAAGTTCCCTGCATTGCAGGGGGTTGGACTAAACAACCCTCATGGTCCCTTCCAATTCTACGATTCTCTGATTTTGCTCTCATGCGCACAGTGCTTCTGCTTCTGCTCTCGCCTTGGCATAAAAATATGCTTTGGTCCTGTTTAACGCTTCTTCCAAATGAGATGGGCCTCTTCAGTGAAACAGAGGGCTCGATGGCTCCCCGGAGTACAGCTTTGCAGTTAACACAATGCCTTTTAATTGTAAATTCCTCTTAATAAGGATGAAAGGCTGTCCGCTGGGCAAACTAATTAAAGAGGCGTGTACAGTAGTAATTACATAGAATTCTGCTGCACTCACTTCATCTGAAGAAACATTTGAAGATGTCAGAAACCTGAGGTAGGAAAAGTTCCTATTTCCCATTACCTCAGTCTCTCTCCTCCCTGTGACCCACATGTCTAGTTTTTTCCCTATCCACCTTATACCATTCATTATTAGCAGATTTTGTTTTCTTTTCCTGATCTGTCATGAAATGCCTGAGGTTTGTTAAGAATAGCTCTCTTTTCTCGCTCTTTGTTTTCTTGAAATTTGTGGAAATTTGTGGAAAATCTTGTGTGGACCCAATCTTCTTGTTCTGACTGATGAGTTTGGCATATCTCTTGGCTGTGGGACCACTACTGAAAAGGCCCTGGGAATGCCCTCCCTGTTGAGGTGTGCCTGCCTCCGTCCTTACTAACTTTCAGGAGGAATATGAAAACATTCCTGTTTACTCAGGCATTGGGGTGGCTGATGACATCTGCAAGATCCCTGGATGGAGGAATGTTTTAAATTGTAACTGCTATTAGAGACATTTAACTAGTTTTTGCTAATGTTTTGACTGTTTTATAACATTTTTGCTTTGTTTTAAAAATTTGCCGCCCTGGGCTGCATCAGGAGGAAGGTCAGGATATAAATTCAATATGTAATAAATGCTGTAATTGTAGCAATTCAATAAGGCTCAGATGCTTCACAAGGCAAAGCAAGATGGGCCATCTTTGCTAGTCTCAAGCACTTCATGTGAATGTGCAGAACAAATGCATGGAAATGGCTCTAACGATTTCTACTTCGAAGAAACTTACTCTTTTTGAGAACTGTCTGCATCACAGCAGAGAAAGTTAGCCTTTTGAATCTATATGATCTTACATGCATGTATCCATCATATTTTTTGTGAGATGTTTCCTCTTTTTTATTTTAAGAATAATAATAAGCACTTATTCAACATCTTCAGAAATGCTATGATTTGAAAGCTAAACCGTGTTCTTCAAGTTCACTTCCAGTTAGAGCAATTGACTCTTTTTTTACATCTTCATATTACGCATTGAAAAACATCTGGCTCAAGAATCGCTGACAGCTTAGGAGGATTGAATTGTCCCACTGCGCTAAAGCTGAGGCTGTTACTGTGGATCTCAAAACACTCCTGCCTTGGATAAAAGGATTTAACTGGATGGAAGTAAAACGGGGAGGGGGAACCAGAAGACAGCAACCTGCTACTTGAGAGACAGTACATCAAGGACCTGTATCTGTTACAACTGCCGAGTCTGCCTTCACTCATCTCCTGAATTCCATGTCTTACATATTCTTCAAAGGAAAACTCCAAAGAGATCACACACTTCTATCAGTGCCAATTAATTAAATGTTGTCCTCCTACATAGTGGGTACAAAGGAGCGACAGCTCCCCAAGGACTGTGTCAATGCATTTTTCTGCCAACTGGAAGATGTACAGAGGAGAATGGTTTGTGTGTGTTCCTCCTGCCATGGGATCAACTTGAAGAGTTACGAACCAGGAGTGGGGAGGAGGGAAAGAGACACACACAGAGACTTGTTATAATGCAAATAACTGAATGCAAGAAAGAGACACAATAACTGACATAGTGAGTTACTTGTATAAACATTTTCACATGTACCTAAATGTCAAAATTTATCTTTTTTCTTTAATTAACAAAAAGAAAGTATCATGAGCAGTTTTGAGCGCAGAACAGTTCATCTTCCCCTTGTGATAATTTCTCATAGGATGCTGGGGGAGTAGGAGGAGAGATGAGGGAAATTAGATAAAAGAAGTAGAGGAGGGATATCCCAAATTTTGATCTAAAAAAATCATCGTCAATCTTAACTACACTTAACTCTGACAGATCTCCTAATTTTCCTAATTTGACAAGTTAATGAAGAATGAAGTTCTGTCGAAAATCTCATGCAACTTGAAACAGACTTAAAATATGTGGTATGCCATTGTGGGTAGCTGACAGGAATTGGATTTAATGTGTGAACAATGGTTCCTAAACTAAAGAACAGCGTCTCTGCCAGATTTCAAAAGACTAAAATAAGGGGTTAAACTAGATTACTTTTGAGGTCTTTTCAAACTTTTGTGAGCCCTAAAGCCTTCCCCCCTACAAGAGTATGAAATGATCATTCTGGTGGTCATTCTATAGGACAAAAATTTACCATCCTTTCTCTCCTCAATTTCAAATTCTCTGCCCTTTACCATATCTCTAAGTCCCACAAACGACATACTGGAGCAGGCTCTCTTGAGGTTCCATCTGTAACATCTCTAGGCATCAAGCAGAATTAAATAGTAAGTGGAGTAAGTAGGTGGATAAATGAAGCTGAACGTTAAGACAATTTGGGACAAACTGAAGAAAGCACTTCTTTGCACAGCACATAGCTAAACTGTGGAAGTTATGGCTGCCAAGTTGGATGGCTTTAAAAGAGGATTAGACACATACGCGGAAAAGGAAGCTATCTGTAGCTACCAGCCATGATGTCTATGTACTACCTTCACTTTTGGAGGCAGGCAGTATGCCTTTTAAGTACCAGTTGCTGAAAACTGCAGGTGGAGAGAGGGCTTCTTATTCTCAGGTGCTGCTTGCAGGCTTCCCATAGGCACCTGGCTGTCCACTGAGAACCAATGAAGGGAAAGTCCTCTGGCTGAGACCCTTGATAGCAGCTTCCAGTTAGAACAGAAGAACACACTGGGCTAGATCTGTCTTGTATTCTGTGCAGCTTTGTGGCCAAACCACTCACTTCCCCTTTCATGTTATAGTAAACTGCACACAGGAAACCGCAGCATCTGCTTGGCTACTTCAGGGTTAATGTTGTAAAGTTGTAAGACTGCCATTGAGTGGGAAAGCCAGTGCTGTCCTTTTGAAGGTCAGCTTATTTTAGTACATAGAGCTCATTCCTAGAAGAGTTAGGAGAAAGCCAGGCCAGTTTGCAGTAGGCAGTCATATTGTAGTTATCATAAAAATCAGATCCATTACATTCATTTTATTTTTATTTTGTTTCATAAAATTTGTACACCGCTTGATTGTAAAAACAACAACAAAAACCCTAAAAACAGTTTGCAAACATTTATGTCTCATCTTTACACCAGGGTTTTCTAGGCAGTGGACAAAATGTTATCTATGGTTAGGTTGGAGCAACAGCTACAAAACAGAGAAAGCGAAACAAAAATGAGTGGAACAGCAATGAAACTTAGAACAGCAGTATTAACATTTTCTAAAATTGCTGATTGAATAAATATATCAAAAGGTCCTTTCCAGAGAATGCATTTTTGCAGGTATTGTTGATACTATTAAAAAAAATAAACATTAGTGTATCACCTAGATTTTTTTTTAGGGGCTTCAGAATGATATGCCCAAAGTACTGCAGAAGGTCATGCTTTAGGGAATATATTAAGAAGCACCTGAGCACTGAAGAAAGGAAAAAATGCAAACTAGAGTTGTATTATATTATCCTTGGATGAGTCTACGTGTGGATTTCCACAGAGGCTGGGGAAACCCAGCCAGATGGGCGGGGTATAAATACTGTAATAATAATAAAAATAAATAACGGAGGGTTAAAAAAGGTGACACATAAAAAATAGCAAGCCAGACAACTTAAAAGGCCATGATAAAACAATGTTAAATTAGATTCCTGTTATTAGTGGCATGGTACAAAGTAGATATTAAGGTATTTTATGTACTCTGGTGCTTTAACATAACAGTAACTCTACAAATAAGAGAATGCTGAAAAGTTTGGGTTTGGCATACGCCCTCATGATTCCACTTGCTATATGGAAACCATTGTGCTTGGCTGCCAGTTGCTTGCATCTGCTACATAGACAGAGAAGCAGAGAATTCATGTCTTGCAAAAAAAGAAGAAAAAGTTTATCCTCTGGGAAGGGTAGTTAAGAACCGAAAATGCACTAACGTCTCTCAAGTGAGCAGTGATCTGTATTCCTCCTGTAGAATTGACACCACAGCCCCTCCAAAGCTGTTCTGCCACAGACAAGCCAGTCAGTGGTATTTCATGGTTTACTGATGCCTAATTTCCTCTATCAAGCCTCCAAACTGTCTGCTTTTAGTATCAGTGTCTATGACACGTTATCTGTGATGGAGAGGGGCTGGGAGAAATGCTTTCCGCTACAGCTGCTGTCAATAAAACTCCATAAATCAGCGAGCCAAGGCAGGCTGAAGGCAAAGACCAATACATGAACCATCCATCACATCCTCAAGTAGCACAGAACCTGCTTCAGCAAAAGCCTAGAGAGGAAAACATGAATTTGATTGTAATTGAGGACGGGAGTGATGGGTTTATAACATCATGATTTTGTGCGAGGAAACCCATTAGGTTATTTTTATCTATATAGCTCATTGCAGTTCTGTTCTTTTAACTTCCTGTAATGGACATTGGACTGTGTTAACAAAGCCAAGGACAGTTTGTGTGTGTGTGTGTGTGTGTGTGTGTGTGTGTGTGTGTGTGTGTAAAGCAGCTAAAGCCCATTCCATGCACAATACTGTCCCAGTTAATGCATATGAAAGGACTAGGTCATAACTGCAGCCTGGGCCCTCAGTGAAGCTAAGCCTAAGGTCATCTGAACCAACATTTTCTCATGTCCCATTTCTTGCTTCCCTTGCCTCTGCTAATTTCCATGGGTTTCTTCCCTCCTTCTCTGTTGAAAGGAGGCTAGAATGGAACGTTGAGCAGAGTTAGGCCACATTCCCACTACTGTATACATTTAAACCACTATGATGCCACTTTGAACAGTCCCGCTTTCCAGCAAAGAATTATGGGAGCTGTAGTTTGTTAAGGGTGCTGGGAGTTGTTAGAAGACCCCCTATTCCCCTCCCAGAGCTGCAATTCTCAGAGGAGTTTAACCAATCAATCTCTCTTCCCAGGGAATTCTGGGAAATGTAGTTATTTACTGGGACCCTTTGGCCTGAGCTTTTGCTACACGGATCCTCTGGTAGGCAGTTCGAATTAATTATTTGCTTCCATTCTTCTGCGTAGGAGACAGCTGTGTCTGGTAAGTGTGGGCTTTTGGAGAAAGAGGGGGTGGGAGAATTGACTGAATGCACAATGTGAAGGATTGTTTGTTTGTTTGCTTTTGTGGGGGGGGGGGGACTATTCAAAACCTCTGGTATCACACCAGCTTAAAACGGGCTCTTTTTCAAGGTAACATTGCCACGCACTAAATTGCCACTAGGAGGATAATCTCTGATTATAGCTCTTTGAGGCTCAAAACACAGAAGAATATTTGCTTGTAAGCTTTCCAGAAGCCTATGGTTGACCACCCTGAGGAATATGATCTGGCAGAGCTCTCCTCATTTATCCCCAAGTAATACATTTGCTTTCTTGGTGAAAAGAGTGGAGGTGAAGAGACAAATAAGAGAATTTATTTTAAGCAGAGCTCTAAAGATGGGCTTCAGGGATGGCTGGTCTGTTTGCAAAGCTGAATAAGGATCAGTCTGTAGGGAACGGCATTGTAACAGGCCTGAAACAGCTAGCGGCATTAGGAGAGGTGGCTAGAGGCCCAGACCTCAGTTTGTCTGCTTTGTAGTAAACCATTTAAAAAAAAAAAATTACAGGCAATTTGTGATGAATATAACTATAAGCTGATCAAAACTTACTATCATTATCATTAATTATATTTGTATACTGCCCTCCATCCAAAGATCATAGGGTGGTTCACAAAAATGCAAAAAATACAAAACTTAGTAACAGGATCTTATCCACAATCAGGAAAAACCTGGAAATGGATTCATTTTCTTTCCTTCTAAGTCAAAGTGTCTGGAGCAGCTTAAATCTAAGGGTTTTATCTTGTCTGGGAGTTATCTGCCTAAAGCGTGTTTTGAGATCATTATATGTAGCCATTTATCACAGCGGGGATTAATCATTCCTTCTACACAAGAAGATCTAGGAGCACCAACGAAGAGTGCGCTCTGTCCATACAACCCAAGGTAAGACAGTGGTGTGAAGCTCTCTAAAAGAAGTTGATGAACATTAATCCAGGGAGTACAGTGGTACCTCAGGTTACATACGCTTCAGGTTACATATGCTTCAGGTTACAGACTCTGCTAACCCAGAAATAGTACCTCGGGTTAAGACCTTTGCTTCAGGATGAGAACAGCAGCAGCAGCAGCGGGAGGCCCCATTAGCTAAAGTGGTGCTTCAGGTTAAGAACAGTTTCAGGTTAAGAACGGACCTCCGGAACCAATTAAGTACGTAACGAGTGGTACCACTGTACACACATTTCAGTGGAGGCACATATGCTCTCTACATATGCTCTCCCAGCATTCCTTCAATCTCTGTTTTAAAATGGGAGCAAGAGCATTTTCTGACATTGGAAGGATGCAAGGGCGCTTGCAGCTTTTTTTTTTTAATTACTTCACAGCAGGGGTGGAAAAATTGTGGCTGTTGGACTCCCATTAGCCCCAGCTGGCATGGCGAGTGGTTAGAGATAATGGGACGTGTCACCCAACCATAATTTCCTCCTCCTTGCTTGATAGTACAGTCATACCTTGGAAGTCAAACAGCTTAGTTCCCAAACGTTTTGGCTCCTGAACGTCACAAACCTGGAAGTGACTGTTCCGGTTTGCAAAATATTTTTGGAAGCCGAACATCCAACTGGGCTTCCGGGGCTTGAGATAGGCTGCAGGAGCTTCTTGCAGCCCATCAGAAAGCGTACTTTGGTTTTCGAACCTCTTGGAATTCGAACAGACTTCCGGAATGGATCCCGTTCGACTTCCAAGGTATGACTGTAATATGCCGTATTTTTTGCTCTTTAAGACTCACTTTTTCCTTCCTAAAAAGTAAGGGGAAATGTGTGTGCGTCTTATGGAGCGAATGCAGGCTGCACAGCTATCCCAGAAGCCAGAACAGCAAGAGGGATTGCTGCTTTCACTGCGTAGCGATCCCTCTTGCTGTTCTGGCTTCTGAGATTCAGATTTTTTTTTCTTGTTTTCCTCCTTCAAAAACTAGGTGCATCTTGTGGTCTGGTGCGTCTTATAGAGCGAAAAATACGGTAGTTGGAGTTGGCTAGAGATGTAGCGTGCTTGCTCTGCAGCCACTCTTGACAAAAAGCTACTTGCAAGTGCTACAATTTTCAGTCAATTAAAGTAAGTCATTTGAGGACTCTTGAAATTATTGTAGCCTATATATTTTAGAAATAGCATGGTTTGAATAGCTTCCAGCAGAGCAAGATCAAGCTTAACGTAAAGACATGTTTCAACAAATCAGAATTAATAGAAATTTATAAGGAATCTATAGTGTACCTGTGTGTGGACTGGACACTCAGTTCTTGTCAAGCTCAGTTTAGAGATGAACTTGCTGGTGATCTGTCATGTATCAAGAGAGCAAGAGCAGAAAAATAAAATACTACAATGTCCGGGTTTGGGTGTTTCTCAGTGAGATTAATACAGCATCCAGAATATATGGAACATTTAGAAAGAGTGTTGTTTCACAAAACCTCTTTCTATAGAGCTGAGGAAATGTTTCCCTGTTTAGAACTGAGAAACACATTTGGGTAGGGAAAGCTTTATTTCCTTGGGTAATGACTGTATTGTTAATTGAAAGAGGAAACTGCCATGCTAGGCATATAGTTACATCTGAAGCAACATTTTAAATTAAAGTTCAGCTTTCCGACTTTCAAGCCAGTGTGTGATTGCCCTTCTGTTTACTATTTGATACTTTCAGACAGTTATGATAGGACTGCTTTTATGGTCAGAGGGGCATCATCCAGAGTATTTAGGGACTCAAAACAGCTAGAAGAAACAGGAAGGCTTCACTGGCAGAAGTAGGCCTTTGGGCTTAGGAAATTCCCCTGCCTTCAGGTCAACTGCAAAATGAACTGAGGCGAGAACCAGAAATTCAAATGGCATTTGGTGTCTGAAATTTCTGAAAACACAAATGATTTGTTTGTTATTATATTAATAGTTCACATATTTCACTGGGTAAGACTGGATTTCATTTTAATTTGCTGCAGGGAAACCGAAGTTTTTGGCATTCATTTCTGCTCTGTAATTAATTGCTGCCCATTTACAGCAGGGTGAAAGGGGAGGAAAAACCGCCATTCCCTCTGTAAGGTTCCTCTTGGTTAGTCTGTTTCTCTGTCAAACAAGTTGGTCTTTGAAGAAGCAGCTACGCAATAAACGACTTTGTTTATTTCCTCATTTGTTTTGAATGTGGTTGGGAGGGGGAATTCTACGTTACAACTTAATGGCATAGGATTCATGTCTGGAATTTTTTAGATTTATTTTACTTTCTCACATTTATACCCACCTTTCTTCCAGTGTGGAACTTACAGACACATATATGTGGCTCTCAGGGGGCCTGCTATCCAGAGGCACAGACCAGCCTCAGAGCTGTTTAGCTTCAGCAGGGTGTGCCTCAGAGAAGTATTGAGCCACATTAGGTCATGCATTTGCTCTGAAAGGGAATCCCTATGCTGAAATGGCGGCAAAGAACATACTCAGTCTCCGATTTCTACCTTTTCTTTATTCTGTGTCACTATCAATACAGGACCCACAGTTCAGATTTGTACTGCATGTACAGATCCGACATATGCAGAATATCAGCTAAGACCTGTCTAGAGGAAGAACCCTCTGACTGAAATAATAAAAGGGTTTTCTATTTAGAAATACCTAATGCTATAGATTAACTCTTCTTTTTAATGGGGTGGGGAACTAGTGCAGAATAGTTAATAAATATACAGTTAATAATCTTCTTCTTCTTTGGCGATCACTCGTAGCCAAGTAAGATTGTCTTCCATAAACACGGTTTTAACAATGGGTCCGTAAGTGACCGTGGAGTCCAATTCTGGATCTACACATCCTTCCACAGTGGGGACATTGGTTTCCGGGTGGGAGTTGATCACGGTGTGGATTTGCCAAGCGTGCCTTCCTCTTAGCACGTTTCTCCCTTGTGTCCTGAGTTTGAGTGTCTTCAAAGCCCATGACACCCTTGGTAAAGGCTGTTCTCCAACTGGAGCGCTCACAGGCCAGTGTTTCCCAGTTGTCAGTGTTTATACTACTTTTTTTAGATTTGCCTTGAGACAGTCTTTAAACCTCTTTTGTTGACCACCAGTATTACGCTTTCGATTTTTAAGTTCGGAATAAGAGTAGTTGCTTTGGAAGATGATCATCAGGCATCCGCACAACATGACCAGTCCAACGAAGCTGATGTTGAAGAATCATTGCTTCAACACTATAATAAACAGTATATTTGCTTTTATTATCCATAGGAAAGTAGAAAACCTCTAAGGAAACAAAACTGTGTGTCCAATTTTGTTCCATAACTCTCTTTCAAGTTCTATATTATATGGCCATCAGGCTTTGTTTTTTAACTTGCTTTAAACCTTTAAAGTCATTAAGAAGATACCTACGAAATCATTAAACAGACATAAAATAGTGGTAAGAAGCTGCCATAAGATGGCACCATAACCTAATGTATGGAGAAGTCATCTCTATATGAAACAGAAAACTAGCATAAAGGGATATGCTTCCTAGCTTGAAAATTGGCACACGTCTAACTTTCGCTCTCTTCTTCCCTCAATTCTCTCTCCCCACTTCTGGTACTGAAGACAATCCGAGGACGTTAAGTGGCTTGCATTAAGATAGAATTTTAAAAGCATGGATATCTGCCGAAGCCTTTCCCCCCTTTGTTTCAGTCTTTTTATTAATGTCCCAGCTGATTTGTACATCATTCTAACATATTCTGAAACAAAGTGTTTCCAAGATATAAGCAGATATTGAATAATAATATATCAGTGGGAGGTAAAGTGACATGTATCACTTTGATTAGAGGGGAAATGTGCAGGGCTTTAAAAGTTTATGGTATCGCAAAGCGCTTTTACTTGTATAATGAAGATTATTTCACTGCCTACAAAAATGAATAAATCCTATACACAGTAAGCTCCACTGAACTGGGTAGAGCTTACTTCTGCATAGATAAGCAGAGCGTTGTACTGTGAAGAATCATTGAATTGCACAGGTGTAAGGGGACCTCAAGGGTCCTCTAACCCAACCCCCTACAATGCAGGAATCTCAGCATCAGCATACAGGCCCGCATCCAAATTTGTTTCTTCCTCCCTTCCCTTAATTGTAATATTGCTGGAGCACAGGGAGCAAATATGTTTGGAAGCTCTCTAGGCCACTCTGTGTTCTTCTTCCCTTCCCTTCAGGGCAGTATGATGTCCAGCCCTCTGATAAGTGGATGGGAGATGCAATCTTCTGGGGGCCACATACAAGTGGTGGGCAGGGAGAGGAACAAAAGCGGTGTGAGCAACAGGCATTCCATTTGGTCACATCTCTGTCTGTGTCCCATACCCTCCAACCTTTCTTAGATGAAAACCAGGAGCAGTGGCAAAGCAGGAGGGGGAAAAGGCAGCCTCAGTTGGCAACTCTTTCTTCTTCGCCCTATGTGAAGCCATTTCTAGTTAGTGTACCTCAACAGATGGCGATTTGGGACTTGGCATGAGAAAGTGAGAAGCTGGGAGGGCTTAAGGGTTTTCCTGACAGTACCGGCATATTCAGGGCAGGTGGAGACTATGCTATCCTCCAAGCAAGGAGCATTAACAAAGTTCAAGGGCACATTTTAGTCAGGCAAAAACACCCAGTCGGGGTGCAAAGCCAGTGAGGAGTGTGGACTGGGGACAGCCTTGAGGGCCTGATAGAGAAGCTTGGAAGACTGCATTTTACTCATGGGCCTAAGTTTGCCCATCACAGGGTTTTCTGTGATACCTCTCGTTTTCTAGATACATAGGCTGAGTTTCATGAATTTTATAGATCTATAGGCCAGGACATTGCATTTTGGGTAAATTAAGAAAGCGGGAAGCCACCACAGATAGGAGCCAAGCTTTGCTCCCATTTAAAAGCAGCAGCAGCACCTGCCCACTCCTTAAACAGCCATTCAGAAGATGTAATGATAAGTGGTGGCAGTCAGGCCAGCCCAGTAAAGGGCCAGTAAAGGGCCCCTGGCCAGTGCCCAACCTGGTTGACCACTAACACCATCCTGGACCTAAATAATATGAACAGGACTAGATTTCTGCAGTCAGTACAATGTAAGAAAAGCACCTTCAGACTGACTTCGTATTCTTTTCTAGTTGTAATGAGTCTAATAAGTCCAGCACCTACAGAAATCCAGAGAGGGTGTTAAGAAACCTTAGGTTTCAAATGCACCAAGTGTGATGGCAGCTTTTACAGTCAGTGAAAAGGAACCCTGTTTCCTCTTTGGCTAGCACATGCAGGTGGCTCTGGATAAACATTTGCCACCACTTCTAAAGCCGTGAGTATTTTTGTATATGCAGCACTTGGCACAATGCATAGAAAACAAAACAACCCACCACTTTGGATGTGGTGGTGAGTGCATGTTCAAAGCTGTGATTACATACAAGCCAAGTTGTGTTTGGGCATGGTGTGTGTGTGTGTGTGTGTGTGTGTGAAATCTGGTGTTTTGTATGGCCAACATTGCACCATGGGAAATTTATATACCAACTTAAGACATTTATATACCACTTTTTTTGGGGGGGGGGTTGTCGGCAGCTGAAAGCTGTATCCTTCCTCCCCTTAGGGCAAGATAGTTTTTGCAGTGTCCCATGTTGCAATCAGATGGCTAGTGGTTAATGCCTATTAACATCAGTGCTGTGGCATCTGAACATTAAAATGAGCAAAGTGTGAGGTAGCTAGGATTTATTTTGAAGGCCTCTGGAAAGTCAGGCCTTTATACAGTCTTTGCAGTAGCTGGGAAAGGCAGAGAGCACCTCAGCTGGAGCACAGGGCGCAAGATGTTTGGAAGCTCCCCAGGCCATTCTGTCCTCTATGTTCCCTTCAGGGCAAGATGTTGCTCAGGCCTCTGGTAGTGGCTGGCAGAGTTCAAGGTCACATCAGCTGGAACAACAAGGGGGCTAGGTGGTTGATGGTTCTCCTTCCCTCAGTGTTGGAGAGTCCTGACATAGAAGTCTGCAGCATTTTAGTTTTCTTTGCATTAAAGCAAGTTTCTAGACCTCATCGTTGCAGGGAGAGGATTGCAGTTATGTAAGTCGCATCACACGAAGTCTGAAAAACTGGAAATGACCTGAAGAGGAATTTAACTGATCTGAATAGACATTTCTGATCAGAACAGAACTATGGGTTTTTCTTCCATTGCCTTCCAGTCGAACCACCCCCCCCCCGCCCGCCAACACTTATTTGTTATTACCAGACCTTTCACTCGCCTTCTCTTCCTACCTTACTTGCCCCTGCCTAAGAATTCCAAAGAAGCTACACAAAAGTGGGCCTAGCTAAAATTGCATTTGGACATGCAACTATTATTTGCTTGTATTAACATTTAATTCTGCTATTTGGTCTGGGTTTCCTAAAGGTATGAGAGAATTTGGAGTTTGTGGGGTAGAATATTAACTGAGAATGAAATAAGCACTAGTAAATATTTTTCTGTTTATAATTGGTCCCCTTCTTTATACATCCCCCCAAAAGGCTTCAGTTATTTTGCACTTTCTCCCACATCCGAGTAGGCTCTGTTTATACTTCCACCCTTGTAACTCGTGTTTGTGGAGAGCAGCTTGTCCTTGCCTTTTCCATGCTGGCTGATCACTGAGGTGACAGGCCACATCTGGCCATCTTAGTCACATTCTGTTATATAACAGCAGCCTGCCAAACAATCCCTTCAGTTGGCACAATGCAGCAACCATCCAGCAGCCAGGGGAGATTGGTTCTGAGCACATTGTTTTTGAAAACGGCACTTGGCAATGACACGGTGGATTAAAGCTCAGCTAGACACTGAAGAAGGCTGAGGGGGAGAGAGCAAAGGAACCTCTGTGTTGCCTGGTTTGTTTTGAACAACTGATCGCAGGCCCTCCATGGCACCCCTGAGTAGTCTTTAGGAACTGGAGTTTTTCCAAATACAGAGAAGGAATGGACCTGTTTAATGTTAATGAGCCATGAATCCAACCCAGCTGTTCCTCACATCCTCTTCCTCTTGAGTCAGATACATTTCTGTCAGGTTGATAGAACCTTTGCCACTGGTTTATGCAGTAAACCTTAAAATGGAGAAGTCCCAAAATATAGGCATACCTTACCCCTCCCCAAAAAAAATTCAAAAAAAAATTTGTCCAGTAGCACCTTAGAGACCAACTAAGTTTGTTCTGGGTATAAGCTTTCGTGTGCATGCACATTTCTTCAGATGCACACAAAAGCTTATACCCAGAACAAACTTAGTTGGTCTCTAAGGTGCTGCTGGACAATTTTTAAATTTATTTTGAGTGCGTCAGACCAACACAGCTACCTCCCTGAATCTACCCCCAAATGTACATGAATCTAAGCTTTATTTTAGCTGAGTACGGGGGCATTAAAAGCAGCATCTTTCTGCATACTTAGGGTGTCTCCCAGGCATGAAGAACCCTCCTTCTTCCTGAGTGGCTCTGATACACTGCCATACTAACCAGTATGGAGCCACTTCACTGTTAGTGGGAACAGTGATTGGTTTCATTCATGGGTACAAAATCTTTTGGATTTGCCAAGGCCTTGATGGACAAACATGGTTTGCTTGTGGCATCATTCCCTTTGCCTAGATGGTAAAATATTGGACATCTTAAAGTCAGGTCAATGGGGAACCCATGGGGAACCCATGAACTTCAATGGAGCAAGGATTATTCCAACAGCTATCACTGCATTGAATGATACTTGTTACGAGAAATCTAGTGGCATGTACATTTAGAACTAAAACGAATCCTGACGGATGGTGCTAGAGTGCAAAGGGGTAAAAGGTCACATGACCCAATTGCTTTGCTGCCATCTATGCACCTGGATGAGCTGTAGTTTTGTACAGCTTGCAACTTATTCATCAATGCATATGCCAATAAATAAAGCATTACTATACTTTCAGATCCTAGCATGGGTGAATCCTGCCCCCAATGGCGATTCAGTCTAACATGTGTGCTGCCTATTAACAGAAAGATACAAGCCTTGGCAATGTCCCATGTTGCAATCAGATGGCTAATGGTTAATCCCCATTAACATCAGTGCTGTAGCATCTGAACATTAAAATGAGCAAAGTGTGAGGTAGCTAGGATTTATTTTGAAGGCCTCTGGAAAGTCAGGCCTGTATACAGTCTGGCAGAAAAGTCACAAATGTGGCCAAATTATGGATCAGTGAATCTCAACATGGATGGGATATTTCATAGCTGCTACAGGGGTTAAGATTTTCTGCTGTGCTATGTGACCTATTCCTGCTGAACTTCAGATTCCCCAAATTCACTGGCTCAGTTGCTAGAACAGTTGTTATTCCTGCATTGGACGGGGTTGGACTAGATGACCCTTCCTTCCAACTGCACAATTCTATGAACACTGAGTATGGTAAAGGTAAAGGGACCCCTGACCATTAGGTCCAGTCGTGACCGACTCTGGGGTTGCGGCGCTCATCTCGCTTTATTGGCCGAGGGAGCCGGTGTACAGCTTCCAGGTCATGTGGCCAGCATGACTAAGCCACTTCTGGCGAAACCAGAGCAGCACACGGAAACGCCATTTACCTTCCCGCTGTAGTGGTACCTATTTATCTACTTGTACTTTGACGTGCTTTCAAACTGCTAGGTTGGCAGGAGCAGGGCCCGAGCAACGGGAACTCACCCTGTCGCAGGGATTCGAACTGCTGACCTTCTGATTGGCAAGTCCTAGGCTCTGTGGTTTAACCCACAGCGCCACCCGCTTCCCTTTTACTCAGTATGGTAGGGGTCACCAATGTCGCACCTCTGGGTTCAGTGTCTCTTTCTCTTTTTTAAAAAAGATTTCTTGGTTTACAAAAGTATGTGCAATGTCTCTTATTTCAAGTTACATTTTCTACGGATCAGTTTCATTTGTTGAGACATTAGTGTTACATTAGGAAGAAAAGGGGAAAGAGGTGGAGGGGGCTATGGTGAGTGGTTTCCCTGGTGCCCACAAAGCCTCTGAGCCCACCCCTCCACTCACTGGCCCCTTCATCGGGAGTTGATGGGGATGATTACCTCCCTCCCTCGTTGAAAAGTAAATGGAGCTAAAGAACAAAGTAGAAGAACAGTACTCTCTCCTGCTTCCTCTTTTCAGTTTGTGTGCTTTTCAGATCAGCACCTGAGCAGCTGAACAGAAAGTGGAGCACCTACAATTGTGGGGGGGGGGGGCGCGAGCAATTTGGAATGGAACAATATGGGAGGCAGTGCAAAGAAGGTGCTGTGGGAATCAGGAGAGGGAATGGAGTGTCTAAGAGAAAGAGAGAGAGGCAGGGTGCATGTGTGCACAGACACACAAGTACACAAGTTGAATCCTGTAAAACAGATCATATTGAAATACATGTTCATGTACTCATGAGCACAACCCCAAGTGCTTCTTTTTTTTGTATCAATCACCTATCATCCTTTTCCGGTCCCTGATTTTTTTTTTAAAAAATAACACAATATTTAAATAATTAGTATTTTTCATCCAATGCCATACCATTGAATGAAACATAGATGTATCACTTCCTTTGCCATTCATGGTGAACTGCTTGTTGACATGCAATCATTCCAAAAATGATTTACATGCCCTTGGTTCGGGAAGCCATATTTATCCTAGTTGAGTGGAAGTGAAGTCACTTAGTTAAATAGTTATGATAGCTACCCTACCATAATATAGCAGTCTGTCTACAGCAAGGCAGTACTGTTGATATCTATTATCAACTAAGATTGAAAGTATTGATCTCAAATAATTGCAATGGACAAAATAAAAAGCAAAAGGGTAATTGACAATCATGTCCCTCATTGATCCAGCATCACAATTGACAGTAACTAAATGATTTTCAAGCTACTTTGGTCTATTATTTTTTCATTAACTAGTATAGATTTGAGCAACATGCACCTATTAGTTGGAGGGGTGGAGTGAAGAAGAACAAATCATTTATCACTGCAGATGTAAAGATCTCCATTCCTTCCAATTGGGCAGAGATTTCCAAACTGTGTGTCGCGACACTCAGTGTGTTGACTGCAGTGTGTAGGTGTGTCATGTGAATGCTGCCCGCGCTCCTCCCGGGGCTGGAAAGGGGTTAGTTTAACCTCTGGTTTGCTAGTAAAACTGAATTACTGTGTCGCGAAATGATGCATGCCTAAAAAGCGTGTCACCAACAACAAAAATTTGGAAAGCTCTGCAATAGGGATTAGGTAGTATTTTGACATGAAACCTATTCAGATAAATAATGTTCATGATCCATTGAGTCCTTTGTGGATTTATGGCTACCAGCTGTCTTGATTTCAGCAAGAACAGTCCAAAAATTCACCAGTTTGTAAGCACTCTCCTCCTAAGACTACTTTAAGGTGGCTTTCTCCCTCATGGTGACTGTCTCTCAACTTGTACACATGTGCATATGTTTATGAACACAGAAAATCTGCCCCTCAGAGTCTGATCTGACTTAAGCATTGTGCCCTCCCAGTAGCCACTAACAGTATTATGAAGATCCTGACCCACTCAGGTCAGCAAATCCTGTAAGAGGCTTGCATGGGGAGAGCAACCACAGGTGGTCATTATGTATGTAAAAAAAGGAGTGGGTGGTGCTGTGCCTCTTGGGCTTGCTGATTGGAAGGTTGACGGTTTAAATCTGCTCAATGGGGTGAGCTCCTGTTGCTCAGCCGGAACTCACCAGAACTCAGTTCCGTCACCTCTCCATTGTCATGCTAAGACAATGAGGAAGATGTTCACGATGAGTTCCAGCACTTCTTTTTCTAGAAAGATAGCATTGGGTGGGTCTAATGTTGCCAGTGTGGCATGTTTGTTGAGAGCCAGTGTGGAGTAGTGGTTAAGAGCAGTAGACTCGTAATCTGGGGAACCGGGTTCGCGTCTCCGCTCCTCCACGTGCAGCTGCTGGGTGACCTTGGGCTAGTCATGCTTCTCTGAAGTCTCTCAGCCCCACTCACCTCACAGAGTGTTTGTTGTGGGGGGGGGGAAGGGAAAGGAGATTGTTAGCCACTTTGAGACTTCTTCGGGTAGTGATAAAGCGGGATATCAAATCCAAACTCTTCTTCTTCTTCGTCTTCTTCTTCTTCCAGGTCTTCCACCACAATAATATCATGTGAAGGAGGGAACCATGTGAGCAGATGGGTAATGTGGCTATTTCCTACGGCAGTGCCGAGAGCTAACAACCTAGGGAAGCAGCCACATAATACTCCCATCCAATGTGGTTCAGACAGACCGGCCTGACTATGTGCAAGTGGCAACCACAGCACACAGGAAGCATTAGCCCCCAGTCAGATGGTGTAAGGAACTGTTTTGTCAGATGGGCAGAAAAAAAGAGAGACCCCTGAGGCACTGAGCCACTACAATTTCCATTCCCAACTATCAATAATAGTGTTGTGAGTTGCAGGGGAGGGGGGTCCTGGAACCAGCAAGGTTAAAATCCAGTGGAAGAATCAATTGTTGAAGCAGCCAGACCAGCTTCTTGGTGTGTTAATGGTCCTATGTATGGTTGTTAGTATAACAGAGGAGGTTGCTCTATGCCATTGCACAAATGGGTGGCCCCCCTCCCTCACCCGCCTGGTAGTGTGGAAGACAAAAGCCAGAGTGTGCATGAGCTGGGCTAGAAGCAAGCAGAAGCCAGAGAGACAGAGCCATGCCTGATTTCTGCTTGATTCCAAGGCTGTGGCTATGGGAGGAACAATATCTTCTGGTGTGTTAATGCTATGAGCTCCTCCATAGTAGGCTCAGGTTCTACATATGTATAAATAGCTGGACCTTGGGTAAGCGCCTGGAAGCCCTGGAATCTCTCACCACTTGGAAATTGGGGTGGCGTGCAGAAATATTTTAAATGGCATGCCGTGCTAAGGGTTCATTTTGCTGCTTGAGGTATACCAAACCCTGCCCTCAACTGAATCAAGGTGCATAGTACCCAAGGGCAGTCAGATTATGTTGACAACAGAGTCAGAAAATCCCACTCACACCTCTCCCTAGCAGGGAAAAATAAAAAAATAAGCAAACAACATTTTGCTGCCCTTTCATGATCCTGTGGTGGCCTTCCTTATCCAGAGCTACTTTGAATTGTGTGGTTCATAAAGTGGAAATCCCAGTACAGTGGTACCTCGGGTTAAGAACTTAATTCATTCTGGAGGTCCGTTCTTAACCTGAAACTGTTCTTAACCTGAGGTACCACTTTAGCTAATGGGGTCTCATGCTGCCGCTGCACGATTTCTAATCTCATCCTGAAGCAAAGTTCTTAACCTGAGGTACTATTTCTGGGTTAGCGGAGTCTGTAACCTGAAGCGTCTGTAACCCGAGGTACCACTGTATGCACAACCCCCCATTGTTCTTCTGCATCCTATTTAGCCATTCAGCTTTTCCTACTAGCCATACATTGTATATACAGAATATTTATTTTGATGTTTGCTCATTGGTTGAATCTGTGACTGGATTCACCCCGCTCCTTTTCATAGGATGCTAAAAGTGCCATCGACCCTTTCTTGAGCTCCTTGTGTGCATGTCCGAATACATTCAGTGCAGGACGCAAAAACAGTAGCAGGCAATTTTTAAAATCAAATCTACTTTCCTGCTGGTATAGAAAGACATGGCTTTGTATGTGTGCATGAGCATAAGTAGATATAAGGCGCCTCTATTTTAATGCTTCGGAAAACACTTCCTGTCCCTTTTACCTCAGTGCACATTAAACAATTTCCCCCCGATATGGAGAAAGGACACTAGATCACTTATAATGTTAATTTTTAAAGCATATATATATATTTCTAGCAGCTGATTTCCCTTACACTCAACCCCTCTCCCACAACTATCATGGGAAAGGAACAGAAAGAAAAAAGCACCCCAAATTATTGCTATCAAAGCCACCACAAGAGTATATAAAATTCTTATAAAGAAGGTGGAAATATTACCTTTATTCCCCACTGTATGCTCCAGATTAATATAGTCAAATGTTTTTCAGTCCGAATGTGACAGCCATGAAACGTATTCCTTTCCCATCTACTGAGAACACAAACATAAGATGCATCACCTCCTAAGGAGACCCCCCCAGCTATTGTCTAGTACATGTGGCAATGAAGCACAATTTGAAGAAATCATTCATAAGCTCAACTAAGCAAAAACATTTATAAAGGAAACCAATTTTGAAAGTGGGATACAGGCTGTCAGGGCCCTCAGTTATTGGTGGATTCCATCCAGTGCCCGTAAGTTAACCTTTCCTTTCTAGAAAAGTGATTCTTTTCCCCTACCCTCAGTTTTGTATACAATGGAGTGCAGTGCAACTCTCTCTCTCTGTGTGTGTGTGAAGTCATACCGCTGTGTTAGCAGCATCAAAGTGACTTCCCCGGGGCGCAAGCCTGGGCAGTATGTATGGAGGTCCTAAGCTGCCCAGACACAAGACCCCACTCTTGGCCTCACTGATGTGGTCCAGAGGAAAGCAGAATAATGCTTTTGGCACTAGCTGGGACGCAAGAGTTGCTGGAAGGAGGCATAGGAAGGAGCCCTCCAACCGCCTTAGGGACTCCACACCAGATTTGTGTAGGGTTTGCTCCTTAGCCTTTTCTTCTTCTAAAGATATCCCACAAGGCAGCAGAGGTTTAGCACCAGAGTTTTCCTTCTCTTAGGTGGGCTAGTGCCTCTCAAGCAACAGGTGCTTCTAGATGGCAACAAAAAGCCACAGAGCTGGTGGGTGGCAGCAGACTTAAATGGCTGTGGGGCACCCTTTTCAGTTGTCTGGAAGGACCCACAAGATACATCAGAATGAATTCAAAAGTCAAAAAACAACAACACCAGAGCACATTGCAGATCTTTCCTACTAATACGGAGATTAATTTCACAAAGCAGGGAGCGCTTTCTATCTTGTCAGAGCTGCTCTTTGTTTCCCCCCCAACATAATCATTACCCTGCATTTTCCTTATTATCCATATAAATGGCCGTTGCAATTACCAGGCTTCTAAACTATGAGCAATGTGCTTCTCCCTATTAACTTCATTAGTTAGCATGACAAAAAAATAAATAAGGGATAACACATTAATGTGCGTTGCAGCAAGTAAGCTGGGCGGTTATCAGCAGGGGGCCCTAATGGAAAGGTATTTTATTTATTTACTTAGCTTGTCAAATTAATTTTAACAAACCTGAAGGCTTTTCTTCCTCGTGTGTGCGAACCATTCTATTGCTGGAAACTTAAGAAGCAGGTTCAGAGGGATGGAGTCTGCAGGTGACTAGAAAACAACTTAAATAACATCAAATTATGTTTTGTTGATGGGCCATTAAGAAAGGGGTGCTGGGTATGTGGTACAATTACTGCATAGTGCAGATGTTCATATTAGACGAACCCTACTTTGCATACATTGAGATGCAGGCAGGTACTGCCTTGCCTCACGCAGCACCGAGCAATGAAGTAAATAAATATGCAGCTGCTGAGTGAGAAAGAAGTCCAAGGGACTAGACGACATCATTTGGAGGGTATTTCAAAATTGTTTATTTGTGTTCCAAGAGCTTTCCAGTTGTTTTGGCAGCTTTCTGGTCTCTGCTTTTGACAGTCCCCAAGGAGGAGTGAATAGCAAGTGAGATGGGTTACACAAACAAGCCAGGATGGAGAATTAGGCAAACTCTATATATCTCATCCTTTAAAAATGTGTACAAGCCTGTAACAAAATCTGAGACAACATTCCTCCTGGTAATTAGTGTTTCCACCGCTTGCTGCAGAAACGACATCGGTATGAAGAATTCAGGAAAAGTAATCAGTAGCACAATTAAGCAATCTGCTATAATGACAGAACACAACATTTAGTGCCGAGTAATCAGAAACATATTTATTTTTCCCCTTTTATTTTTTTTTTAGAAAATCCAAATACTCAATTATTTGCTTTGGCAGGCTTAGAATTGAAATGACCTCTGGTGTAGTTTTTTTTAAAAAATAAGTATTCTCCACAGTAACACTTATGTTTTATTTCACGGTATGTAGCAAAATTAATGCTTGCCACTTAGCACAGTTTCCATTTTTTACGGTTTCCATTTTTGTACTGTTGTAGAGCTTCAGGCTTTGATTAGGCATCCAGACATCAATTTCCACTACATATGTTTTAGTAGCAGTTGGTGACAGCTACAGTTGTGCAAAGACTACCTCAAGAGAAAAGTACCAACTAGCAGTGGACTAGCATAGTACATTTGTTGGCATCTGTCTTCCTTGGGAGACAATGGGGAAGTGTGCCTTCGGGGTTAAAGTCAAACCATTGGAGAATTAGAGCGCCTCCTGTGGTTGTGGAGATCGATATGGGTTTTATTGCCCTTGCTGCAGATAAAAGCGTCCGGTTTTGCTGCTACCGGTACACCATGGTGTCTCTTTTTGATTCTTTTGCAGTTGTGTTGTGGAGTCCCATGGATTCCACCTCATCTCTGTTGCTGTTTAATATCTACATGAAACTGCATGGTGTTGTCATCCATATTCTGCTCTTTCTCCTTTTCATCAGAACTAAGTGCAGCAGTTACTGTTAGTTCCTCAGTTGCTAGCCTGCATTCTAAGGGACTAGATAAGGCTGAATAAACTGAATGAATCAAGGTAGGATGAGTTATTTATTGCTGGAAGCTGCAGAGCCTGGGAAGTACATACTGTAATGGCTGTATCTCCTTTGGAGAAGTGCTCTGGAAGACAAGGTCCATAGCCAGGAAGTGCTTAGAACTGGACTTGCTCCTGGAGTGGAGTGGCTTTGGCTGGTGCATCAGTTACACAGAATGCCTTTTCAAAAGCTATATACATAATGTTACAATTGCACCACACGTATATATTCCTATTCTAATAATCTAAAACCTTTGCTAATATTTAGTTCAATAGCTCAACACAATTTTACCCATACTATACTGGTAGATCAATCCAGATAGCAGTGAGAGTCTTCCCTAATATCTTAGTTTTGGTGGCTGGTCTTTTTTCTCCAATAGATGTGAAGTTCTCTTCCTCCTCCCTAATCTTATGAGGCTAGTTCAACACCTCTTTATGGAGTTTATATTGGATCCCCTCTAAGAATAAACTAAGGGGGATTTTCATATCTGGGTATACAGTATCTTCCTTATCTACTAACACACAACACATACAATGTTTTTTTCATATTCACAACAACCTTGCAAAGTAAGTTAATTTGTTCAAGGTCACCCAGTGAGCTGCCTGGCCAAGAAAGGATTTGAGATCAGGTTCCCCAGTTCAGCTCCAACACCATCTCCACTATGCCCAGATGTTTTCATAATATAATAATAATTTACCCCGCTCATCTGTCTGGGTTTCCCCTACCCACCCTGTTTTTAAATATGTAAGCTTGCCCTCCTTCCTGGTGTGTGTCAGGGCAGCAAAAATATGTGCATAAGAGGGTTACCTGAAATATGAGGGTAGGGAGAAAATATGTGTATGTATCCCTTACTTTCTACTGCAATGAGGGCAGGATGTCATAAACAGACCAGTCTAAAGGCATACCGTTCCTCTAGAAAGTGAGTGCTTAATACAGAATGACTTTCCTACTGCTGCACCAACACAACATCACAAGCTGTGATTTTATGCCAGCGTTGCAGGCTGATAGGCTGCTGCAAATGCTTAGGATCAGATTGACAGGCTCCAGCTTGAAACTCAAGTTATTGTTGCTATCATGAAAGCACCAGCTTGGCATCTTAGTTCAAACTGCACTGCCAAGTTAAAGCCTGCAAACCTCAGATCATTGAAACCAATGGGATGCTCCAGAATAATTGTTATAAGAACCACGGCCAAAATAACTCAAATGTACTCCGTGGGGTATGCATGGATTTTAGCTACAGAACTTAGTAAACATTGTGCAAATCGAGAAACTCGCCACAGAATCTCTCTTCAGACTTAACGCTTCTATTGCTGTCTGTGTTATCAGATTAAAAAGGAAGCAAGTTTAATAGCCATACATATACTGTACATTCTTTGTGTGTGACAAACTGTGCACCATGCAAAACTAGATGTCACAGAAAGCAGCAAAATTGTGAGAATGAGCAGATGTTCCGCTGAGCAAAATCAACGTACATCTCTGAAGAAAGATCGAAAGACTTCAGGAACTCGTAAGAGTCACTTCATCTTATAATATCAGTAGAGAGTGTTAACGCATTCAGCACAAATGCAGACATTGCCAGTGCTAATATGCTGCCTGATATGTATTTTAACATTATATTATAGTAGAACTCAATAAGAATATAGGGGGTGGTAGGTGAGGATTGAAATTGCTGCTGGGAACTTGCTTTTTGTTCAGCGTAAGTGCTGAACATCTCAGCAGTCGGGAAAAGCTTCTCAGCAAGATTATATTGTTACATCAGAACCACAGTGGGTTGAACACAATTCTCAATTTGCAGGCAAATGGATGTATTGTGTTGGGGTTTACCAGTAGGAGGCTGCAGAAGTATAAATTACAATCCAGCAGCATTCTCTTACCTAGATTTGTGGCTAAGCACAAGGACCTTTGCCTGTGGAAGGAAAGGAAGTTCTGCATAGGGCCTCCATGTTCTTGCATATTACTCTCAAGTATGCCTTCTTCCTGTTATGATCTTAGGCATAGCCTAAATGGTTGAATAATGTGATAAGCATATACATAACTTTGAGTGTGTGTGAGAGAGTGCTACTTGTGCAGTGATGCATAGTTACTACTGCCACAGCTTTTATTAGCATTTAATGTTCCTCCAGCATCAAATCTTCTAGGTGCTGCGCAGAGCATGGAAATGACATGGTCTCTGAGTGGAAGGCTCACAGTCCAAATGAGATGGGTGAGTCAGTAGTCACCAGAAAGCTTTAAGCCCATGGCGGACATTTAGCGCGACATCGCCCACGACTCCCAAGCTGCCAAAACGAAGGGGGAAGGGGAGGATTCCGCTGGCAAAGCGGCGCAGCTCCCCCCTTTCCGATGGTTCGGGGTAGGCTTGGGAGTCATGGGCGGGTGGCACACTGAATGTCAGCCCCCTCAGTGAGGGCACCGGGGGCGACTGCCCCCACCGCCCCCTTCCTACGCCCCTGCCCTTACTGGGATGATCTAGGGTAGCAGCAAGGGTGGGGCTGCACCAGCTGAGCCAGTGTGATGTACCCACAGAGCCCTATCCTAGCCGCATTCCAGATCCGACCCTGCATTTTCCCAGTGGCAGCAATGCCGCTATCAGGGGGCAGTAGTACACCGCATTTCTATGTAGAGTGTTAAGCTTACTTATTGTTGCGAGATGGCCAAGAGCGGTATACAGTGGTACCTCAGGTTACGTACTTAATTTGTTCTGGAGGTCATCCTGAAGCAAAGTTCTTAACCCGAGGTAATATTTCTGGGTTAGCGGAGTCTGTAACCTGAAGCGTATGTAACCCGAGGTACCACTGTATACGCTTTGCTTCCCAGTAAACATTTCTTCAGCACTCTGCAGCTTCTCTGGCTGCCCCGCACTTCCGGAAAAAAGCCCTGTGGGAGGAGTTATCTCAAGATGCCTTCCCCAGGCATTTTTGATCGAAGCACTGGCACCCAGGAAGGCTGCAGACCGCTTGAGAGACAATGTGTACAATGAAAGAATGGACGTTCACAAACACCACCTCCAAAGTAAGGTAATCACTTAAAAGCACACATACAAACACACACCACAATTTTCCCTCCCCTGTGATAATTCTCAAATGCAGTTTCTAGTCATATTAATTGATGGGGACTGGTCAGGAAAAAATCTAGAACTTTTCAGCAGAGCATTACTAAAAGTAGGAAGAAGACCATGTTGAGCTTCTTAGGTTAATCTGTTAAATCAGGACTGGGGAACTTTTCCCAGCTAATAAACAAAATCCTAGCCTCCTGCATCGGGGACAATGCCGACTAGCGAGTCACCTCAGTTGCACCAGAGTTCCTGGTAGAGAACTCCCTACTACAGCCCATCTCAGTAGGACTTGCTGTCAATGCCCACCAGTGAGCCCTGCTTGCTGAAGAAGAACTGGGAGCTCACTTTAAGTTCCAGTGGTTCCTCTGCACCTGTGTCCTTCCTTGCAGGTGATGTCACAGGTAGGCGTTGTTTGAGGAAACCAGACTTGCAGGCTAAATTAGGATCCCTCCCTGGCCTAATTTGCCCTGTGGCCAGAGGCTCCCCATGTCTATGTTATATGGACCTACATTATCAACTTATTTGGTGTTGCTTGTGCCTAACACTGACTTGTAAGTAGTAACTTACCTGGTTGACTATGACAAGCAATAATTGCCTCCTTGCAACCAGCCAATGAAGCTTCTGTGAAATGGAAAAGGCATTGTGGTCAAATGTTCTCTGAGCTAGCAGCTACTGAGGACTTGTTTACAAAGCTGAATGAGGGATGGTGATGGTGACTGTTTATGTTTATGCTGGGCGGGGTTAGGTGAGAAATGCCCAAATTGCTTCCTTGTTTGCTTCCCACAGCCAGCTGATTGCAAGGCAGCAATAATCACACCGAGTAAGTTTCTTAATACATTAGTAGCCGCAGTTTCAGTAGGATAGTGGGATTAGTAGTATTCTGCCTTCTGCCTTTTCTGGCAGAAAAGGTGGCTCACATCAATAAAACCAGTCAACAATCCATAACCTAAGCAAATCTAAAGCTTTTTTTATTTTATTTTTTTTAAAAAGGACTAAAAACCAAATAAAATCATTAAAGCAAACACCATCCATTCAGATGGATAGAATCCCTTACAACATGTAAAGCAAACAGTAGCAATTACCCCACAAAAGGCTGCCAGAAGAAGAATAGATGCCCTTCATTTGCTTTCCAAAAGCCAACAGAGAACTGGTCCCGCAGGTTTCCTTGGGGGTGGTGAGTGCATTCCGTTGCATGGGTGACACAACAGAAAAGACCTCTCACAGCAGCTGTGAAGGCTGCATACACACCACAGAATTAAAGCACACACACATGCCCCAACCTTGGGAACCATAGTTAACCCTGCACAGAGCTAAAGAGGCCCACACTCTTAATGAACTATAGTTCCCAGGATTCTTTGGGCAGGGAAAATGGTTTACAAATGTACGATGTGTACGCACATCATGGTCAGGCCATGATAGAAGTAATGCAAATCCGATAGTAATATCTGTGCATTGAGCTTGACACACCCACATATACAGATTCAGAAGCATGTCTTTTTCATTGCTTCTTTCAGCTATCTGCTTGAAAATTAATAATATGTAACCATGAGTGGGGTAATATTACGCTTATCTCTCCTCTCAATCTGTTGGGGTGGAAACGGAGCATATATTTCTATCTAAATTTGCATATTGCATATTAAATGAAAGCTTAGATTTAATAGAATCCAATAGGAAGGGAACCGCTGATATGGCACTCCACTAGTAATTGCCTCAAGCCAGTCATTGCTCAAGATATCACATTGTTTGTTTACTTTGATTGCATTTTGTTCTGAAATCGTCGTGTAGGCAAGAGCTGCTCAATCACAACATGTTATTATTTGTTATTGGATTATATTTTGATCATTGATCATTTTAATGGAACGGTTAACTTGCAAATTGTCAAGGGTTGGCTTATGAAAGTATGAGAGCAGATCACCAAGAGAATTCTGCTCTGGGGCTCCAAGATCTACGCTAATGTCTGTGGTCACAATTCAAGGTGCTGGGTGTGGATGACAAAAACAATGTGTTGTTATTGGCAACAAAACAGATAAGAGTGATCTGTGATCCACCCTTATCCTAGCCTCCCCACACGTGGGGATAAATATAGCTTACTTAGGTGGTTGTGGTTAGGATTATCGAGATAGTGCGGCACATTTTTAACAAAAAATCAAAATAAATTGTGTCTAGCATCTGTATAGATGCCTTTAAAGGTAAAGGTAAAGGGACCCCTGACCATTAGGTCCAGTCGTGGCTGACTCTGGGGCTGCGGCGCTCATCTCGCTTTATTGGCCGAGGGAGCCAGCATACAGCTTCCGGGTCATGTGGCCAGCATGAGTAAGCCACTTCTGGCAAACCAGAGCAGCGCACGGAAACGCTGTTTACCTTCCCGCAGGAGTGGTACCTATTTATCTACTTGCACTTTGACGTGCTTTCAAACTGCTAGGTTGGCAGGAGCTGGGACAGAGCAACGGGAGCTCACCCCGTCGTGGGGATTTGAACCGCCGACCTTCTGATCAGTAAGCCCTAGGCTCAGTGGTTTAGATCACAGCGCCACCCGCGTCCCATCCCATAGACGCCTTTAAATCTATATAAATGTGTGTGGGTGTTGTTGTTTAAATCTGCTATGTATGTAGAAATTCCCAGGTATAATCCTTCCCTCTCTGATTAAAGGAATATTAGGTGGTGAGCTAGAGAGGCAGCACCAATCAGAATAGAGAGAATATTGACTACATGGAAGATTGAAATGGCTCTTTATGGGGCAGCTGCTCTCCCACACCCTTCAATGCATGTCAAGCACTTCAATGCAGGTTGCATTTCTCCACTGAGCAAAATGGAGTGAGAACAATCACAGAAGACTGTGGAAAAGTTGTGAATTTTTAAATAATTTTTTTTTGCACTTAATCAGCAGCTTGAAGCAGGCAACCACAGTTTTCCTGAAAAGGCTTGAGCAAGAACGACCTTCAACAGCCCTGTGCTAAAATGATGCAAGGGCATTTTTGTGTGTGGAGTATATTAGTTGTCTTATCAAACTCACTTCCCAGAAGATGAGGAGAGGCTGGTGGATTGTTTAGCAAACAAAGGAGTTGTGTTTGTCAAGGAACCAGGTCACTCTGTAATTGCAGAAGTATTTGTCTTTGGCTGAGCCTTCCAAGAGATTCAGATTCCTGTTAACTCCAAAAGAACGTTGACGCAAACCCCTTGATTCCTCTGGTCTGGAGCATGTTCAAAGACGCAACAGATGATAGCGAAGTTTCCTTCCTTATTCCTTTTATTCCCTTCATTCCCACAATGTGACAACACCTCACTCCACAAATCTGGGCATATAAAATAGCTGTTTATGGGTGGAATATGTTTACAGGAAATCTGGGTGGGGCATTGTGCTGTGCTATTTTGAAAGAAAAAAAAAAAGGGTTGGAGCAAGACGTGGGAACTTTATCTTGTTAAACAAGGCTTGGCCTCCTACACCTACATTGATCGTATACTCTAGCCCAGCCTCCCTCGACCTGGTGTGCTCCAAATGTTTTGCACTACAACTTTCATCAGCTCTAGCCAGCCTGGAGGGCACCAAGTTGGGGAAGGCTGATCTTGCCAGTGAGTCTCAGTGGCTCTCATCAAACAAGCTGCCAGCAGTAGTGTTCTGTGCGGATAAAAAAGCACATTTGCTTGAGAAAGCTGAGACAAGGTTTATTTGCTCAGCTAAGATGGAGGTGGGGAGGGAACACACTCAATCTTATTAAGAGTTACACACCTACACATGAATGTTAGTTTAAGCTAAAACCTCTAAGGTGCTGCAGAAGGAAAGGGACTAAGAATTTAAACCAGCATAACTCTTTAGGTAATCTTTATGGGAGAAATGGGGCTGTCACTGGAAGCTAAGAAAACAAAAGCAGTTTAATAAGTGGAAATAGAATGCTTGCAACAACAGCAAGGCCCAAAAAAAAAAAAGACCTGGCAAAGTATGTTGCATAAGTCTAACGACAATAAATAAAAATGATGGGTGACATCCAATTGTGTCTTCCTGCAGGCGGAATGGATGCTTGTTTGTTCAACAAGACTTCTTCCTTTGCAAACCTACATGCAATCACCTCCCAAAATTTGCTCTAAATAGGAAGTCCCATGTGAGATTGGATGTCACCCCATAATTCTGAAAACTGAATAGGTGCATTAATAGCACATTTAAAATAGCAACAACAACAACGCCATTAAGGTGCACAGCCACCTGCTCTTGAGTCTTAAGGAAATGTCGAAAGCGGCTTGCAATGCTGATTTGGGTGCAGCTGTGTGGATTCAGCATTCCCTTATGGCCAGGCACAACCACTGAGGTCACAAGGGTTCTCTGGATCATGGCCATAGTAGTCCGCACTAGCATCTGGTTCTGTGCAATTGGGATGCCTGTTCAACTGGGTGTCCCAACCAGGCAGAGCTCCTTCTCACAGGCAGGTGCTCACGTGTTGGAATTTCTCTGCAGACAACAGCATACAGCGCATGGTAGTGGCAAGAAAAAGGCCCAATGAGGGGGGAAATAGCTAAAAATGCCCCCACTCTGCTATCAGCATGGATATGCCTTACACATGAGTGAGATGTCAATAGGACTTCTGAATCAATAGACTATGACCAGGCATTGATATATATATATATATATATTTTAATCTATTCAGACAAATAAGCAGTTTTTGATCAGGAGTCTTCTTTAGAAGGAAGGCCATGAAATATACCACCCCAAACACACAGCTTTTCTTTGCTTCTTCCCAACATGATATTCTGGTTAAACCTCATGCACTTATTTCCAAGTCAGCTTACCTACTGAAATAAAGATTTTCCTTTCTGATGCAAGCTGAAATTATTTTGATGACCTTTAAAAGTGCATTACCATGACAAGGCAGAACTTTTCCAAAATTAGATGGACAAAGCATAGACGTCTTGCCTCATTATTTCTCTCATACACAAGCTACCTGACAGAAACATGGTTGTGTCTTGTGCCTTAAAAAAAGAGAGGGGGAAAAATAAAACAAAATATTTTTGTAGTACTCATCTTTCACCCTTTCCCAAGCTAAATATACACAAGGGGAGTCTGAAGGGCGAGGATGGTGGCTTCAGGAATGGGCTTAGGACATAAAATAACCATACAAACAATTGTGTATTGGGTCCCGGTCATTTTAACAGTTGCCCCACCACATCACTCGAATACCACATGGGGAATGACAAATTAAGCCATATGGTGGAAGATTACCTTGCACTGTTTCAGACTGCAGGTGGGGGTTCAGGTGTTTGAATGATCTCCTGCATAAAGACTTCTTGTAAATGAAAAAAATGATAACAAAAAGGAAAGGATTAAGCTCAAACCCGTCTTTCGGATGTTCAGTATTAGTTTTCCATTTGCAGGAAGCCCCCCCCCCCCCGGGAAACCACTAGATGTATTTATTTGTTACATTTATATATTGCTTATTAACCGAGTCATCCATGTGTTTCAAAAATGCTATTTATTTATTTATTTATTTATTTGCTGCTTTTCTTTCAGATGAATCCCAAAGCGGCTTAACAAACAGTAAAAGAACAATGTGTTGATGATATAAACCAGCACATAAAACCATGCAAAAGCCAACATGGCAGCATAAAATCAGCTTAAAACCAGTAAAATTGTGAGAGAGTTAAAAGGAAACCAAATCTGTATGCCTTTTGAAAATTAAAATTCTTGGGATAATAAAAAGGCTTTCACATGGCACCTTAATGAACGTAATGGGAATGCCAGGTAAGCCTCTCTAGGGAGGGTATTCCATAAACTCGGGGACACCACTTGGAAGACCTTGTACATTGCCCTTACCTGCTTCGCTTCAAGGACCAGGCATGTGCATTTGGGATAAGATTACCATTCAGATACCCTGGTCTCAAGCTGTTTAGGCCAGGCCTTTGAAAAATGTGAATATGCAGTTAAAATGTATGCATTAGACTTTCTGATTACTGCTTATGTTTTATGAACTATCCTAAAGCGAAGACAATACTATGATCCATGGAGCCAGGTAAAAACCTCAAATACAGGTGAAAATCAATTGGAATACCATTTCACAGATCTGTTATACCCAGGCTATACAGGGTGAAATTGAATAGAATAAGAGGCGGCAGGGTGTGTGTGTGTCAGAGAAATGAGATTTAAGGGTGCAATCCTACATACACTTTTCTAGCACTATTTCACTGGGGCTTACTTCTGAGTCAACATGTATAGGATTGCATTGTAAAAGAATCAGGCAGCCCTGCAAATAACAGAGGGATCACACACTAGGATGAAAACACAAGGGTTCCAAATTCACGTCTTTATCCAGAGTAGGCATTTTGCAGGAAGTGTTTAACCCTTTCACTGCATACTGTGACACCCACTTACAACCCCCCCTTCCTGGCTGTTCCCCCAGCTAGGCTTCAAAACTGAAAGTTAACCCAGCTGAGCGACAGTGGAGGGAATTGGTGGGCATAGTAGGGGTTTAAGTTAATCACACTTCCATCTGCTTTACAAATACTTTCTCTACCTCAGCATTTTGATTAAGGGTGCTGCTGGGAAGTGTTTTATCAGAATTAAGAACTTCATATGTGTACTTACATGCGTTAGGAAGGAACACTGCAGACATGGCATGCAACAGATTATTATCAGCACAGTAAATGTATATTCACAATCTGCCTAAAGCTGCAAAATCTAATTTAGGTTGAAACCAGTGCAAGATATTCAGGGCCAACCAGGCTGTTAACCAATTAGCTGATTGACTGGCTTGCAGTAAATGTTGAATCAATTAAATGTGGTTTAAAATAACTATTATGGTATGTATCCACAGGTGGTATTCTAAGGCCTTTTCGTGACAGACAAATTGCTTGTCTCCATAAAATTAACTGAAATACCATTACTATTTCAAAAATAATTTTAGGCACACTCTAGAATGAAGTGTTATATATCTATTTTAGAAAAAGAGAGGGTTTTATTTCCTGGGTTCTTGCTGTTATGGGTTCTGCTTATTTTGTAGTTATTGTGGTTTGGTGGCTGTTTTAATATTTGTTGGCTTATCATTATTATTATTTATTAAAAGCTATAGGCAGCTGAATCATAAAACTCTAAGCTGTGTGCACAATAAAATTATTGATAACAGACAGCTAAAATCCAGAAATCTGTTTAAAAAACAAGTACACATTTATCAATAAAACACAGCTAAGATCAGCAAAATGTTAAAAACGAGTGCATTGTATTTTGCTAATGCTTTTATGGAATCTGCCTTCAGAGTGCTTGGTCCTAAAGGCAGTACATAAACAACTCGTATAAAATAAAGGAGTAAAAACAGTGTTGGCACTGAACAAATTAATATTCTGTCTTTTGAAATTGGTGATGCAGAAGAATCCATTGTTTTCAGGTCTAATAAAGCTCTTACCTCCCCTCTGAGGAGTTTAGTTTGCAAAACAAAACAGACCATTTTCCCCCACACCACACCCAGTGACTGTGTATCTGTAGTACCACTTTGATTTTTGATTTATTTATTTTTACAGTATAGACATAGTTCACCTATGGGCAAGGTACACCTAAACCAATTCTGTTTTTCCCCCCTATTTCTTCTCATGCGGTACAAAGCAGTCTTCTTGACGGATTATGAGGATCTAATAAAACATCTCCTAAATCATAAAGGCTCCAAAGAATCATGGCTCATAGGATATAAGGGGGTGTGGCACAGCAGTGGCTTGAAAAACATTCTGACTTTAAAACTGTAACACCTATAATTATGAAGGCGTCATCACCCCCATAATTTTTTTTTTACTAACAAGCTACAGTCATAACTTGTGTACACCCTAACCAAAATCTGCCAAGCATTCAGTCACACCTGGGATTTAAGGACAAGAAAGGGAAGGAGCTTCTCTCTGTTTGCCCTTGCCCTTGTAAAAGGACTATAGCAGTAAACAATTCAAGAGCAATTAACAATTGCATAGGAGCTAAGGGATAAATCCCACTGCTGTTATTGTCAGAGGAATTAATCATATTTTATGGTGCTGGCCGACTGGTTTAAATCAGCATAGCAAAAAATAAGGTGGCAAGTCTTTTGAACCATAAACAAATGTTTGTTCAAGGGCTTTGGCTTTTTACAGAATCTTTGCTCCTGTTCCAAAAGATGCAAAGAATCCCACCATCTCTATATAGTCTTGCTTCATATTCTTTCCTGCCCTTTCTTGGGATTGGAAACGAATGATGGAAGCAAGCATGGAGGAAATGGAAGAGACTCGATAAAAGCTACCTGCCTCAATCCTACCTCACACACATTTATAACTAATCCATTTTATTTCAGGTAGATGAGCTACAACATGGTTATCATTTTGCGTCTGATTTTTTGACAACTGCATCTACGCAGTAATAACATGATATAAATGGCGTAGCTTTACTCGCTGTCATTAAAGATTATTCTTCAAGTACATCTAAGCCATCTTTTCCTTGGCAAATATTTATTTGCAATGATTTTCCTCTTAATTATTTAAAATATAATAAATTAGGCATAAGTACTTTGCCATTACTCCAATTTAAAGTGTAATTGCATATCAGAAGAGTCTTTTCTTTGGAACATGTGCCTGTTTCCTTTTTCCACCAAAAGGTGGCGTCCTATTCCCGTATCCTTCCTTTTACATGAAAATCCCCCGTTTTAATTTGCCAAAAGAAACTTCCATTTGATTACTGATCAAGAAATTAAAATGTGCTCTATATGAGTGCAACGTGACAGTGTTGAAAATGAACAATATGTTAAGCTGCAGTTAAGTTCCCCACTAATATATACCAAATGGACATGCAAGCTTCTATCATTTTGGTTGAATAGACACTGGTATGCAAAAACCCCATATTGCAACATTTAAAAGCAACTTCCCCTTTTTATGGAGTTTTTTGTTCCAAACCACAAATACAGTAAACTCCACCACTAAATACAAAAAACGGGAAGCAACAAAATGGCTCCTATAAGTCTCATTTAAGTTCAATGCAAAATAAGTTGCATCACTTGATTGAAACTTCTAAAGCTGCAGTGCCTATATAGCTTTTCCTTACAAACGACCAAGTTGCTATGACAATACATTCTTGTCTTCAGCAGTTCCAAAAACCGAACCTCAAAACTTTAATTTGTGCACCCTTGCAAATGGAATATCACTCACCTACTTTGCTTTTAATTCATTATTACGAATAGTGTTTTGACCCACTGTAGGTCTCAGTCTCATAGTCAAACCGTATTGTTTCAAATTGTGTACGAGATGCATGGGTATTTTACTTATGGAACGTACACAAAATGTAATAGTAAAATTGTGTTTTTGTACATGCTTATCAATCAATAGACATAAAAATAATGATGCATAAATATAATTTTAAGTATCATGATACTATCATCACTCCATGGGAGGAACCCATCATCTTGATCTCTTGGCATGAGCTAATGTTGTTCCAATGTATTTTACTGCTGTAAACTGTAATGGGCACTCCCAACCAACTTTGACCTACTATATGCTGCCACAGAACTGTCAACTATTGGAGAAGGCCTGTAGCTCAGTGGAAGAGCATCTGCTTTGCATGTAGAAGGTCTCATGTTCAATGCCTGGCATCTTCACTTAGGGCTGGGAAGGGTTGCCAGTCCGAAACCCTGGTCAGCTGCTGCCTAAATGATGCCGAGGTAGATGGACCAGTGTCTGACCCAGCAGGAGTCAAATTCTTATGTTTCCTATGTAGGTAGGTGTATGTATACTTGTTCTTCTGCTACCAAGTACTTACACCCCAACTGATACGGGCAACTTCATAAAGTTCAGAGAGCATCTTCAGGGTCTGTGGATTGCAACATAAATCTAAAAATTACAAGTGCGCTCAATAATGCAGTAATCTCTAGATTGCGTCTCTGGCCAATTTAAGAGAGCATGACTAAAAGTGAGTAATGTTTTAAACACTGGACATGATACAGAGCTCTGTGGCCTTCCACAGGCTGTTGTATGCCAAACTCCATCAGCCCCAGTATGGATGGCAAATGGATGATGTAGGAGTTACCAATCCCCGATATAGTGGAAATTTAGGTATGAAATACCCTATTACATACTTGTTGGAGTTGTTGGCATCCGTCCACAAAAGTTCACATCATAATAAATGTGTAACTCTTTAAGGTGGCAGAAGACTATGACATTTTTGTTGCAGAAGACTAACATGGCTACTGTGTGTGTGTGTGTGTGCGCGCACACACACACACACACACACTTAGCACAAAATAATTTGTCACACTTCTGACGGTATCTGCAGTGCTTAGGCAAACCAACACGCACTTATCCACTCATTCCTTCACCCTCTCAACAATGCTGTCCAGTACGTAGACCACAATTCAAATGGGGACCGAGGCCCTGACAAATGTTTGTAACAAAATCTCTTTCCATGGCTTATGAAGCAGGAAAAGGGTAACCCTTCCAAGCCACCCAGGCTGCTAACCTTTGGTTTCAATAAAATAAAATAAGTACAATAAAAAAATAAGACGTGGCTCCTCAAGCATATACTGGATAAAGAATGTTTTGGAGAAGAGGAACTCCTGTCTACATGCACCCCCCTGCCCCACTTCCAATTTCTCACCTAAATTTGCTTGTTTCTAGAATCAAAGACACTTCTTCAAGACTACTGAGTACATAGTAATTAAAATGAGATTTGAACCCAGATCAAAATCTAAGACATAGGCTACCACTACGGATTAGTGTGAGATCTATTTAAATTGTAATAACTGTAATTTCTATAGAATCTAAAATTCTACTAGGCCCTTTACAAAAGATATAAATTCTAGGAATGCGGTTGGAATTTTGCAGTTCAGGCCTCAGTTTATTCTGACCTAATTCATAAATTGACTTTTTTTTACTTTGAACAAAGCTGAAGAGCCAAAAGGAAACCTACTACTACATATAATTTTAATCTGAAAAGTGTCTTAAATTATTTTAAACTGCATTTTTCCCTCAGTGCAATTCTGAGGTAGGCCACTATTATTCTAGTTTTGCCAAAGAGAAATTAGGAGATGGTGACTTTCTCAGAGTCACATAGAATTGTAGAGTTGGAAGGGAACCAAGGGTCATCTAGTCTAACCCCTGCAAAGCAGGAATCTCAACATGTGGTCCTCTGTCCTATGGTTGCTGTAGGACTGAAATCCGTCTCATCTGTCTGCTGGATCAAATTGCCTCTTATTTTCCAAGGGCACAATCCATTCAACATTAAGCACTTCTAACTTAAGTGGGAGAGGTTTAAGCATGTTTCTAGCTTTCCCACTGAAATCCATTGGACTTCTTATGTGACTTAAAAGTAGCCTCGCCTTCTTTGTATAATTTGAAGGCACATAATGAATTCAGATAATCATTATGCACATATAACTAAAAAAGGAGGGTGAAAGGTTTTTATTCAGTATGTAGAAGGTTAGAGTGCTTGCCTTTCTTGAAAAATACACTGACTATAATGGAACTAGTATTTCACTCTAATAAAGAGTTTCCTCTAGTTGTCACTGGTTAAATTTCATATGGATATTTTTAAAACTCCAACAATGTTAAGTGTAAGAATAGATTGTTGAGGTTATGAAAGTGTTTTAGTAGTGATCCATTCAGATACCATTTTTATAAATAGTATGAAATGGGTGAATAAGTGGTTAGATTATGCATTACAAGGATAGAGTATTGTTTAGTGGTTAGACCACAGGTCTGAGAGTCAGAAGGAGCTCTGAATATTATTCACAGCTTTACCACTGACTCATTGTGTGAACCTGAGGCAGGTGAGATAACCCTTTCCCTACCTTGGTATATTTATTTATAAATGTATTGCAAGACTGTGGCTTACTAAACTTGTTCATATACTTTTGGCTTGGATTAATTCTAAAACAACCAAGTTTAGCCAGTTTTGTAGGGATGGCAAAGTATCCTTTCTCTTTGCCTGCTTCTCCGCGGAAAAAGTCAGTTTACCGGTATAGCCACTGTAGCCACAAATGCTAGCAGCTTCTGTGCTGTGAATCTCTTTTTATCTCACAAAAGGCAAGTTCTGCAGCATTGTGGCCAGAGCCAGGGATGGTGATGCCAGCACAGATGGGACTAACAATAAAGATGAACAGCAACTTTTTCCTCTCTTTTCATCCGTTCCGTAGAAAGCAGTTTCAAGTTCAAAGATTTTGAATGCACGGGCAGCAACTTTTCAAGAGTGTTAACCCACCCAGCACTCTTTATTCTAAAATGCACGCAAGGAGCAGGTAATATGTATTAAGCAACCCATTGGCATGCTAGCCCCTGGGTGTGTGTTCCTAAGAGGAACCGGAGAAGGCAAATAAACAACCAGCCTCTCGCGAATGTTTTCTTTCCCGGTCGCTTTCTCGAAACGAGCTAGAAGAGGAAGAGTTTCTCCCCCTTCCTTCCGAGTTTCCTAAAGCGGGCCATTAGGAGACGAGATCTTTCTGAATGCGGGGTGTTGGGGGAGAGAGAGGGGGAGACTTTCCCCGGATCTAGACAACACCACGCACTCCCTTTGCATGGTGGACATATCGGCTTCCTTGCACTCATGGGCTTGTCCCTCTGCTGAACTTTCACCTCTCGAACTCGCCTCCTTTCATTGGGTAAAGTGCACAGGGGGAGAGGTGGAGGGGGGAACCCCTTAGCGAGAGAGAGAGACGGGGAAAGAGGAAGCCGGCATTTGGCTCCCAGAGCACTTGCACTTTCCAATTGCTTCCCTCGCACTCTTCATCTCTGTTTAGCGCCTCCCGCCTCCCCTTTTACAAAAGAATCCAACAAAGCAAGCCGAAGTCCGACCCCTGGAGATCGCCGCAGATCTCCCCTTACCTTGCCCCCCAACCCCTCCTGTTTGCTCTTCTCCGGGCTGCCTCCGCTTCCTCTTCTCGTCCCCCCACCCCGCTCGCCGCCGCCTTCTCTTTAGTTTTCTTCCCCTCTCCCTCGCTCCTCTTTCCCAATCTCCTCCCGCAGATTCCCCCGCCGCCCCTATTTGCTGCACTCCCTCCTGCCCGCTCCCTCTCCTCCTCCTCCTCATCTCTCTCCCATTCTTTTTGTGTGTGCGCGCGTCTGCAACTGCGATATCTCCCTCTCTCTTCTCCCTCTCCCCCTTCTTTTTGCACTGAGCCTTGTTTACCCAGCAGGTGGATGTGACGTCAGGGACTCATAACAGCAAAAAATAACAAAATCTCCCTCCGCGGGGTGTTATTTTTCCTCGCCCTCTCTTTAAAAAAAGCTTTTTTTAAGGGGGGAAAACAACGAGCCCAACTCCAAAGTGGCTGCAAGGCACTCGGAGCAAAGCCGCGAGGAGCTTAGTCCAGCGCGCGCGTGTGTGTGTTATTGGGGGGAGGGGAAAGGGGATGTGGGGGGTACGGGTGGGGGAGGAGGACTGCCCTCCCTCGCTTGCTTGTGCTGCTTCTGCTTCTGCTACTGGGTTGCCTTGCTCTGCCTTGCCTGATTGCTGCTGCTGCTGCTGCTCCTCTGCTCTCCCCCCTTTGGAAAGCTAGTTCCCGACTCGAGCGGAGGGCTCTATTGTTATTTATTGTGTGGCTTGTGTTGCACGCTGTGCCTGCTGCATGGGGCTGGCTGGCTGGCTTGGAGAGGGAGTGAGGGAAGTGAGTGGAGTGAAGGGAGGGACAGACAGGCAGGCAGGCAGACTCACTCACCCGCCCGCAGTGGGGGGAGCCCCTTAGCTGGCACCGCCAGGCCGTTTCCAGCGGGTGAGTTTGCCATTTCGCCTTTTCTCATCCACTTTTAAGTCTCCTGTTTTGTTTTGTTTCTATCCCCTCACGACTCCTCTTCAGCGCTCCCCCCTCCCCTGACTCTAACCCCCTCCTCCTCCACCTTTCCACGTGCCTCGGCATCTCTCTCCCCCCCCCATGCCTTTCTCTCCCCCACCCCCACTCCCAAACATGCCTATTTGCATAAAGCACCTCAGGCGCAATGGGAAGAACCCGCGGCTCCTTCACCTCCGAGCCTCTTCCTCTTTCTTTATGTCCCGTATTTGCACCTCATGCTTCCCTCCCCACCCCCCAAATCCGGCCCCGCGCTCCCTTCCACCCTTTCGCTCTCCACGCGCTGGACGTTGCACACACGACCGCAGCAAGTTGGAAGCAGCTTCTCTTTACTCTTTGCCCCCGGTGTGTGGTGTGTATATGTGTGTGTGGTGTGTGCACGCGCGCGCGCGCGCTCCTGCGCGAAGAAAGTCCCTCAGGCGGGAGAAGAGCGGCGGGGTGGGGGGGTGAGCGAGGGGGGCCGGCGAGTGTTTGGAGGGTTTGCCGGCGGGGCGTGTGCGCTTCCCTTGGTCACTTGGGGTACTTCTCAGCGAGGAAGAGGCGGGCGAAATAACTTTTCGCCCACTTGGAACAAACTTTTTGCCCCGTGTGTTTCTCATGCCTCCTCTCTGCTGCTTTCGTACAGTGAACTTCAGTGCATAGGCCTTGGGGACTCACACCTTTACACGCTCACTGAACTTGAACTCGCCGGTTGTTTTCACACACGCGCGCGGCTCACCGTTTCTTGCGCTCCTCTGGTTCCGTGTGGAGCGGCTGCCGTCAGACTTTCCCCCTACCACACACACACACACACGCCTCTCCACACCCGCAGCCCGTGGGTT